AGGTTTCAAAACCCCAGGGGATGGGGATGACATCAGCTGCACAGGCATCTGTGGAATTATTTCTGGCCCTAATTTATGCAGCCCAAATGTGTTTCTGATGTGCATATGTGCACATGCAATGATTCTACCCCTGACACGTCTCTCCCTTTCTCTCAATCTCAATAGATAGGAAGCTGCACATTTTGTCTCGACCTCCCCTGGATGGGCCTGATGGGACCCGTGATTCTCCTCGCTGGCCAGATGAAGGGGAGTCAAGTCCTTCCCCTGGAACACCTAAGTTTACCTTGCACGATGAGGGTGGCAGCAACAACATTCTGGCCTATGTGTCTGTTCTGGCTGCCGTTGTGCTTGGTCTGCTTCTTTATGTGGCTTATAAATGGTGGGTATTCACTAGGGATGAGTCCTAGTCCTTAAATGGATCTAATAATGATTATAAGATTGGCCCTGGAATGAGAAATAGCTCACCGTGGGTAGCTTAAATGACATTGTTTTCCTCTGCTTTTCTCAGCTGGAGATCATGTAAACAGAAGAGGGCTCTATCTAAGGCCCGTGCGGCTGAGTTGGGAACATCTCCAGAGGGGGAAAAGCTCCAAAGTGACAGCGGTGTTTTTCTGGACTCCCACAGCCTACAGGACAACCAGCCAAGCAAAGGTGTGGTACACAAAGGCTCTTTGAAACTAAACTAAATTAAGCTTTCAGAGGCTTCAGAAGATATTTTAACAAAGTTACTAAAACATCCAGACCTTTCACAACTCAATGTGCTGAAATGCACTTATTTGCCTGCATTACTAGATGTTTGGATTATTGAAGAAAAAAAGGGAATCACATGTAATCCTGAAGGAAGCGGCAAGAATTTAAACTAATACTTATTACATTACCTTACTACTCATACATTTCAGAATTGATTTTATTGCCCTTGTTTATAAAGTTTCAAATGGTCTGGGACTTAAAGGGTTGTATTAGAAAAAGGAAATGTATTTAGTGTTCCAGACAGAACACTATTGTCCTCCATTTTTTCAACCGTACGAAGATGCAAGATGTATGTGCTTTCCTGCCACCAGTTTCAGGCATTTCATTTCAGTATTGCACCAAGAATTATAGCAATGTGCCAACAAAAAGGAGGCAGTGAAGAGAAAGACTGCTGGCTAGCAAATATGTACTGTATATAATGATGCAAGTTTCAAAGTACTTTCAATATTGACTTGTTATTTATGAGGAAGTAAATGCATTTGACACATTTGTTAAGCCTCAAGGATACATGTAGTGGGTTTGTGGGAAGAAACATTGAAACACAGGGCACAAATGTTTCCCACAAGAAAAATGACAAGGAAGCGTTCTAATTTCAGACTTTAAAATTGTTAACATTGCCATTTTTGCCAGTATTATCATAACCATTAATAACATAAATACTATTATTATCACTGAAAATATCCTATTGGTTAGTTTTCTTGGTAGAAATAGCCAAATGGTAAGCTAATTTTGTTTGTGTTTCCACAGGTACTAAGAGGGACAGCAAGCAGGACAATCGTCTGTACATCAACCTACCCCCCCACAGACAGGAAGAGGTGGAGCGTCTCCTGCAAGAGGGAGGGGGTCAGGGGTGGAGGCAGCTGGGCGCAGCGCTGGGCTATGAGCCTGAACAGCTGGACCTGTTTGGGCGTGGAGAGGCCCCAGCTCACACGCTGGTCTCTAACTGGGCCCAGAAAGAAGGCTCCACTCTGGGACTGCTGTGTTCTGCACTGGCCCGCATCGAGAGGCCTGACGTGGTAACAGTTCTTAACTGCCCCACACAGGGTGTTTCTGTGGTCTGACGGCTCCTCAAACACATGTGTGACACTAAAAGACTCCAGTGAAGAATTTCCATTGCAATGACAAGGGAGGCACTCTGATATCAAAGCCTCTGTCACTGTTGGAGGCTGCCTTTGGTTGTTCTGATTGCTTTGTTAGACACTTATAGTTCCGTTTTTACCAAAAGAACCAATTTATTCTTGGAACACTTTCCTCAACTCCAGTTTATGTCACCATATGATTTTACATGGATCCGATTGCTTGAAAAATCGCATGTGATGTGTCTGTTTTCAATACAAAGCAAATCAACAGTTAATACAGGAAATGAACATACACGGTGTCGCGACTTTCACTACTGCGGGAAAATTTTTAAATTCTGGTTAATCTTCAATCCCTTTCTCAATGGATAGTGCAGAAACCTAGTCAGATTGGATTAGACCTACAATGACCTCCACATACAATACAATAAGTGCATTATAATGCAATTTACATGTGCACAAATGCTAGTACTGTGAGTGTTTGGTTACTGGCAGGAAACAGTATGTGTTTACACATGTTGCACGAGTTACATTTTTCTCAAACCACTGTTTATGTGTAATTTGGACAGTAATCAGATTTATCCCCTGTACCCTCTAAGAAATATCAGCCTTCCACTTGCTATTGTAAACAAATATGGACGGCTTAGATCATCACTTTTCTAGTGTGGCTAGCCTTGTTTTATGAATCACAACTTCAGCAACCACTTTGGTACTGCAGTTGATTTTTGCCAAAAAGTCTTCCAAAAACACTGCTTTCCAACATGATGTGACTTTCCCTATTTGGGATCATTTCTGTGCACATGTGCATGCCTAAAAAGAGAAGAAAAATCCAAGGAAACCAATTATGGGTTTACATGGCCAAGTGAAAGGTTGAATCTTCCTAACCATCCCAATGATGCTTGCAGTTATTTTCTTTAGAAGAACACTTAATCTAATGTGTAGATAGGAACTCCTCAAAATTGTTTTAAAGATTTGTTACCTTGTTCTGTTTTTTTTCTTGTTTTTTTGCTGCAGTCACTAAGTACCCTTGGTATTTATTTACACTGAGGATATATTATGCACCAGTGATGTTTCAAATCTCATCAGAAGACATGAAAATGAAGCATTTTGTGAAATATAAAAACACCTTTCTTAGCTCTTCTTCATAATCACCTATGTAAATATCTTGAATATTGATTTCTTTTGATAAGTCATGACTTAAAGTGAGATCATTTATGAACTGTGACGACTGACGAAAGGGAATAGAAATTACTCTATTGTCCTTACATTCATAACACACAGGTCCATTTTTGTCACTTTGATTTCTCATTTTAGATAACACAAAAAAATTTCAAAGACACTGTTAACACCAATGCTCGTGTCCAAGTTGCCATCTTGCTTTTGTATTTATTTCATCACCATTTAAAGTCTAAAACTAAATAAAATCTATGAGAACCATGGACATCTGCTGTGTCCAAGTTACACTATGTGATGGCCTCAGATGGTTTGATATTTTTTTAACGCCAGCCAGGTATGGTTTTGTGTATATATTTCCTAATGATATGCCTCAATGTGTTTTTGTAAGAGTTTTATGCATTTATTAAATAACTTTGACAATTCACTGCTCCTTTTTTTTAAACAAAGAACTCTACAGTAAGCAGCACCATGCAGTAGATGAAACTTGTCTTTATGCTGCAATGAAGTACCCAGTTGCTTGTGGCTCATGTGACTGTGGAGTAGCTCAATTAATTTGAAAAAAACACCAAAAAAACATTTGAATTACAATTTACATTTACATTGAATTAAAAAAAAAAAATCAACACTATTTTCTAAGAGTGTCTAAAAACTAGTTACTAGTAACTAGTAAAACTAGCAAGAAAGCAGAGAAGTTGAAACAGCTAAAAGGCTAAATGGTTAAAACAAACCGCTAACAATTAGGCATCACTTTTACTCTTAAATAAATGATAAATGGCTAAAATAGATGGCTAAAAGCAACAAATAAACAGTTGAACTATCTAACAATAAATGTAATGGGTCAGGGTGAAACTAGATAGCTAGCTAATAATCATTAGCTTAAAGTATAGGATAGCTAAATAGCTAAAATAGTAGCTAAAAACAAATTGATATAGCCAACAGTTAAAATACCCATACTAAATGTTTGAAATAAATGTTGATGAAGAAGTTTGTGAGTTTATCTGATTGGACAAATGACAAAGATTCAACAAACCTCAGTAGTTTCAGACATGTAGTTTTATTTTCAGGTATCTTGTGTCATACCTCCCATACATCCTAAACAATAAACAATAAGCATGTAATCTGCCATCGCTTATATAATTTGGATACTATATTATATGCCTTTGTATTTAGAGTAACTTCTTAACGTTCATGGAAATATGAAAGTTACTGTTGAACTGGACCACAACCACAGTCCTATATAGAGGTCTGTCACTTTCAGTAAAATATAAAACCCACTTGATAGATTACACAGTGAGGAAGTTTGGACATATTTAGAATATAGTACACCTTATCAAGGGATTTAGTGTATAAGAACATTTCCTATTCAAAATCCTGAGGGAAATCGGTTAAGTAGTATTTAATAATTTAAGTCTGATATGAAAATAATAGCACCATCCAAAATATTCTGGAGGAAAGTTTCCTCTCTCTCTCTGAGGCACAATCTGACTGCTCCTGCTCCCCCTCTGCACCCAAATCTGTTAATGATCTCTTTGCATTCAGTTCTAAGTGGGAGCAGGCATCTTGCATGGCCTAGGGCAGTGTTACATGCCGTCACACACTCCAGACGGGACTGCTTAACTGCGGTCTGTAGCACACAGGCATGGGGCTGAGGAATGTGCATTCACTGGAGGGGGGTTGGGACAAAGGAGAGAGGGCAAGCACAGCAGCGCCTCTCTCCACTCGTCACGGGTCTCCATATTTAGAGCACAATGAACGTCTCGAATGAAGGCAGTCGATCACTTTGATTCCCTTTACTGGGGCCAAACCTCTGGCTCAACACTGTACATATGTGCTTTAGTGGCATTCATGGCATGTGCACCGATAATTAGAGGAGGGAGCCAATCTAAAATGGGATTGGGTGTGCACTCATCTAATCATGTAACAGAGGTCACTCACATTTGGTAAGATCTGTTGAAGTCTATATAACTGACACCCAAGTGAAGCAGATTCAACGGCACATAATTTTACAAAAAAAGTTTATTATCTTTTAAAATGTTTGTACACTCGGTATGACAATGTGCTTACACAATACTTACAGTAGAGTAGGGTGAAACTTACTTTGTACATAGAAAAAAATAGACAAAAAAAACAAAATCGTGAAAATCTTCTCCACCACTGAAATAAAACAGAGGGCTGCGAGTCAGTGGGGTCCTAAGTTTGACAGACTTATGTGGGGAACTGCATCAGGAGGGCTGAGCTGGTGGGGATGGGCGGGCTCACTGTGCTCCCTGACACGACACTCCTGCGTACAGCTTTGGTAATTTTGTACACATTATTTACACTTTCAATCATGAAATGATAGTCCTTTTACAAAGTGTCTGCTTATTTAAACATTCCCAAAACTATTCTTCAATATATTCACATATAAAGCAATGTACATAAGTTGGAACTTTATTTAATGCAATTTCATAGGCTGCAACAAACTTGTGACCTAATACTAATGAACCTACCTTGATACCGTAAAAATCTTGGAAATTAATGAGTGACAGTTTGTGGAGCAATGCCAACCTAAATGTCTCTAAATGTCTCACTGGGACATATAAATGATTTAAAAAAAAAGAATCAGAACACACGTTTAGAAACTGTTAAAATGCCAATGCTACAACCTTCATTTTCAGCAAGAAGAGGAAAAAGGGCAGAACAGGCCGGAGTAGGGGTTGGACAAGAAATGGGAAAAATGGATACACAGCTAAACAGCACATCTAACATAGCATTCAAACCCTGCTCCCGTTATTATACATAAATTGATAAAAAACATGTAAATATTGATGACTAACCCCACTGCCAACCTGCTGGTTATTGGCTGATCCCCAAGTCTATTGTGAGTAAAACTCATCCCCGTTAAGGGCATATTACTTGAAGCTGGAGACATGTAAAATGTAGGAATTTCATGGGATTCCACGCTTACCTCACCCTACATCATGCACTCATAAAACAACAGAGGCTCCAAATGTCTTGTGGTTAAGAAAGGCAGGGTTTGAGTAGTGGAAGCTTGGACCTCCACAGCCCAGTTAAAAGCAGCACCAGATACAGAGTCAGTGGCAGGGAGATGAAGCGTGCACAAGTAAAAGGAAGTATTTGGGGGGGGGTCTGGACTGTTCTGTCATTGATACATTTTTAACAGTGGACAGTAACAAAAAAAACTTTGATAAATATGATACCAAAAACTGATTCCACTGAGTAATCCTCATTCAGGGCTAGAAGAGTTTAAAAAGTGGAATTGAGGTGATCATCTCGGGAACATTTAAGAGCAACAAATGAAAAAGAAAATTTCTTAAAATCAAACAGTCTGTGAAAACATCAGTATCTGTAGCACCCCTCAGTGTCATCTTTTGAGAGCACTGCACCCACTGCACCTGGAGTTTCGAGAAGATTGGATTCCTCAGCGATCCATCCGGGGGGCCCGGAGAGCTTCTTGGCCAGCAGTGCAATTCTTAGTCATAAATACGTGTAAGAAACTACTTCACGGTTCAGACTGGCCAGTACATACATGAAGGAGTGAATGGAAAGGCAGATCTGTGCTTCTCCTGTGTTAGCGCAGAGCAAGTGTAACATCTGTGACCTCTGAGGCTAGTACACCTCTGTGTCCTCCTTGGGCCTGTACACGGAGCCAAATCTCTGCATGTACTTCTTGATGTACTCCTTGGTCTTGTGCTTCACATTCTCATTACACTCAAGGTCCTCAGGATTGGTGCAAGCTTTCAACTCCTTATTCATAACTCCATGAGTTAGCTGGAAGAGTGGGCAGAGGAAAGAGTTAGAAATGTTTCTTGTCACCAGACCTCAGTAAATTATATAATTACAATGTATATCTAAGTTGTGGTACAGTGGTTGGATGGTTAATTCTCTTTTAGGAACTCTGCCCTTTATAATTTCAAACAATAAAACGCAATCTCTAAATGAGGGAAGCCCAGCTCGTCTTTCTGTTTATTGTGCCCATGGCCTCAGAGTCCTGGTATGTCCGAGTGGCACTCAGTGCAAGCCACTCCCTACATACACAACCCATGGACCCACCGGGAACCATGGAAAAACAGAATGCTGCCCTTTGAAGAAACATTGGTTGAAAATAGCTTTTTGAAAGGAATGAGTAAAACAAAAGAGAGGGAGATAATAGTTTACATGTAGTCTCTTCCAGAGGCACAATACAAAAGCACTTGGCTGGAGACAAAATCGTGGGAGCTCAACTATTTAGTTCTGGTTTGAGGGAAACTTTTAAAACTTTTCCTTTTAAGTAAAAAAGCCGTCCAATGCTCTCATTGTGCTTTGACCACCTCGAGGCCAAGGAAAGGTTCACAGCCTCTCAGCATTAGTCGAAGTTGTAACTGTATATGGAAACATCTTATTATTTAATGTTACCTTTCTAGCCAGGTGTTTGAAGTCTTCTGTGTTGCTGATGCGTCCAAGTTTGCAGTCTGGCTTCCGATAAGGATTTAGACATTGCACTATGAATTGGGACATCTGAGTAACACACACACACACACACACACACATATGTAAAAACGAATTAAAACTTGCATGGATATCTGGAAGAGGTTGAGAAAACGGCAACATCTGGAGTTAAATAAAATTGCTCCAAACATTGTATACAAAGACTCACCTCTTTGCGAAATGTCTCTTTACTCTTTTTAGCCAGCTCACTGGAAGTGTCTGCTTCAGCTGTCTTTGTGGAGAACTGTAACAACATAACAGAGGAGACAGATATGATTAAAATCCTTGTTTGCAAACAAATATCACTTGCTTCAGATTAAAATCTTGGATTTGCAAAAAAGAACTCCCATCCCAATTGACTTCTTTCATCAATTTGTCAGACTTTTTCTTAGCTATAGTGGAAGACAGTATTACCATGTCATACTGGCATAATCCAGCAGAGTAATTTACTTAAATTTAAATCACAAGTGAGGCCCCACCTGTGGATCAACTCAATCAAACATGACATCTGGCTGCAAAACAGTAGCTGTCAAGGTCAGTAGGGCATCAAACAGCACCTGCTCAGCAGCTACTTGACATGAAGCAGGGATATCCTGCCAGGGTGCTGCCTCTCTGGCGCAAGCTTCAACAACAAAGGCAAGCAGGCAACAGCTGACTGCCTATACCCACAACAAAGTGGCAAGGATCACACACAAACACACATAGTGCCAGGGCTAGGAATCCAGAAACAGTGAAATCGGACGCTTTACAAGTGCAGAGCATGTGCCATAGTTTCAAGTGCTGGACATGTACACCACCTCGGTCTAAACGCATGCTGGCAAATGGTCCATGAACTTGTAGCTGTTCTTGGCGGAAAACGTTCGCCATGTCAGTTTTTGATGCTTTTTTCCCCCAACTCCGTTACATCTTTTAAAAAGAGACAAAAGGGGCACCTTGGTCATTGGACTATAATACAAAAAAAACGCAAATGAATGCTTGGTCTTCCAGATGGTTTCCATTATCCTCAAAGTCAGGATAAAAATGAAGAGGGAAAACAAACGAGTCAGAGGAAGAAGAGATGAGCTGAGCCACCCCTCCCCTTACAGCCTTGAGGCTAAGGGACAAACAGATGAGCAGGGGCTGGGGCGAGAGGATTGTCTCTTCAAATATTTGTTTCCATGCAGATTCTGATGAAGCCATTTTACAAGGAGGAGTCATCGGCGAGGTCATAACACTCAATAAATATGGCGTTGTGCTGCTTTTTTCCCTGCTTCAGACACAGCTGAAAGTAATCACTAGTGCAGCATCTTCAGTTACCTCAAGGAACAAACTCTATAATCATGTTTTGCATCAAAGCGCAAACCTTCTGGGAATCAAATGAGAAAGTGAAGAGGATACTTCCTCATTGTCAATGAAGAAACATAAATTTTCCTTTTCACTATGTAGCTATTATCCAGAAGACAAAAAGGTTTAGTGCAGTACTAAAAATATTTTACAATTCACAACACACAAACACAACCACTGCTAAAAGCTCACCTTGGAAGGATTCTCATCATAGGTGGGCGTTCCCAGGTCCATCTCAGATTCATGGTCCACACTAGTGTTGTCACTACTTCCTTCCCAGGTTGGAGGGTCCCACTGTGTTTGCCTAGTGCTCAGACAGAAGTCATGTCAGACAGAAATCCATGTAGGGGGTTTCATAAACTTACACATCACAGACACACAGCAATACCAACCTTGTGACAATATGGTAGTAGTAGATCTTGCCTTCAGGGTCCCGGGCCACTTTCCAGTTGGGAGGTAGGATGATAGTTTTGGGTTTGGGGGGAGAGGGAGGAGGCAGATCTATCACATTATTGGCTACAATCAGCTCCTAGAGGAGAATAAATAGAAAATAAGTATTAGCAGCAAACCCCCCCCCCTCCTGCCAACAATAGTTTAAAGTCATACATAATTGCATTTCAATTATTATTTACAAATACAGCCCATGGAGCCATTTTGTTTAGTGACATCTAAAAAGTCACTTTGTCATTGTATGAGACAGGTCTTGGACACATTAGCTCTAAGGAGTCGCAGAATTTAGATGTATACTACCCCCTTGTGGCCACACATGCGGCATAGTCCAGATTTCTGAAAATCTGAGAGATCCTCAGAAGTTGGGATTTAGGGGGCTTTCACACCTACCTCGTTTGGACCGGACCAAACAGACGAAATTTGGTCCGATGAAAAGAGGTAGTCTCAGTCCGGATCAAACAACAATGGTTCGGTTCGTTTCTGGTGTGAAAGTATTTTTTGGATGGTTCAGAGTTTCAGACTATTTACAGGAAGTTTGGTGGTTGACGTGTAAACCGGAAACAAGCAAATGGATGGAGAAATTGCATTGAAATAAGGACACGATTATAAATCTCCCGTGACAGATCATCTTTTTAAACCAACGCCCACTATAGAAGCACACTGCCACATACATCTTTGGTTTTTCCTGAAACGGAGGTGCAGAAGGATTGCTTGCTGTCTTCTTTAATTGCGAATTTGAACTAGCCTCCAGTATAGTTGGTGCTGCAGATAGCCATAGCCATAATAATGATATAGTGGCAAATATGAAAATGTTAATTTTTTATTAATTCAGTCTTGTCAAAGAAACCCGCTGAACTGTTTAACGGCAGGGTTTTTCCGTGCTCGGAATGGGCCTTTGGTGAGTGACTTTGCACAACAGTAAGAATGATGGGTACGTGTTCAGTAAAGGCAATGACCGAAATCTATACATTTTCTTGTTATTTCTGACCATTTGATAAACAAAATATTATAACATTATATAGAAACCATAATGTTCATATAATAATATATTTACAGGTTACACTTTATTTGGATGATCAGCCTACAGATCAGTTTATTAGTAGAGATTTAGCTGTTTCACAAATAAAACCATTTTCTGATATTAGCCTACAACACTGTGGTTAAGGTTTGATTAGTGCTAATGTTTGTAAAGTCATAATTTCAGATAATAGTACAGGCTACTATAGTTTACCATTAGTAGCCTAATATTAATTCCAGTTGGATAAAACAGTAGTTTCTGTGGGTTGTTTTCAGTCACTAAATAATTGTGCAAGAAAAATGCTCTACATGGTGGTCAGTCTCATTTGTTTATGCAAATTAACTTGTCAGAAATAAAAAAAAAACAACAACTGTGCATACAGAACAACAAGTTAAACATTTCTAACGTTCGCTGCAGTGCCTCAACCTTTTTTTAATGTCTCGCCTCCTCCAGGCTGTGATTGGTTGGTTAACGAAAAGTTACTTTGGCGAGCCACTATACACAGGGCTGCATGAAAGGATCCCGATCTTCCTGCGGAGATTAGCAGGCAGGCGTCACGTAGTGCCCAGAAAACCTGATGAGGGGAAGACTAAAATGTAAAAGTGACAGTACCGGTGAATACCGACGCACTTGAAGAACAAACGGATTTTATTTCGTGTGAAATAACAGGAAGTCATTAGCGCGAACTTCGTAGCGGACCGTTTAGGCGCAATTAAACCAACGCAGCAGCTGGTTTATTAATCCAGCGCCAGCTGCATGTGTAAAGTACAGTGGCTGTGGATGAGGAGACACCTCTCCTCTCATCCACAGCTGCTGAAGTCAAGACGTTGTATTTAAGTTTATGTTCTGCTTGCTCAACAGTTGTTTGATAAATGGCTATTAAAACACATTCAGAGAGGATTTGAAAGGTTGTTTTTTTGCGCTGAGGATTTTCCTTTGGCGGTCGCTAAAACCTCTTTGGGGGGGCGCCAAAAATTTCTCTCACCCATTTTTCAAGTGAGAAAAACTATTGGAACATGTGACTGACAGATGTTTTTTGTTGCCCAGCTGTTGCCTTTTAGGTTGATTGTCCAAACATTAAATAGCTCTGCATGACTAGTCCAAGTTTTCATCCTTGGTTCAACCTATAAAGACTGCATTTCCTGTTAAAGAGGATAAAACCAACATGAAGACCAGAGAGCTGTCTATGGGAGAAAAGCAAGCCATTGTCAAGCTGAGAAAAGAAGGAAAATCGACCAGAGCCAGTGGACAAACGTTGGGTATTGCAAGCACAACAATTTGGAATGTCCTGAAAACGAAAGAAACTACTGGTGTACTGAGCAACAGACGTCAACTTGTCTGTTGCTCAGTACATAGTACATAGTACTAGTAGTAGTAGTTGATGACAGAAATATCGTGAGAGCTGTGAAGAAAACCCCCAAAACATCAGTAAGCGACATCACCAACGACCTCCACATTGCAGGGGTGAAGGTATCACAATTCACTGTTCAAAGAAGACTCAGAGAGCAGAAATATAGAGGCCACACCACAAGATGCAAACCACTCAGCAGGAAGAATCGGAAGGCCAGACTGAAATTTGCAAAGAAGTACAGAGATGAGCCGTAAAAGTTCTGAAACACAATCTTATGGACTGATGAGACCAAGATTAATCTCTACCAAAGTGATGGAAAGGCCAAAGTGTGGAGAAAGAAAGAAACTGCTTATGATCTGAAGCATACAATCTGTGAAGCATGGTGGAGGTAATGTCATGGCTTGGCCGTGCATGGCTGCTTCTGGAACAGGCTCATTAATATTTATTGATGATGTAACTGATGATGGTAGCAGCAGAATGAATTCAGAAGTGGACAGAAACATTTTGTCTGCCAATTTACGGAGAAATGCATTGAAACTAATCGAGAGGAAGTTTATCATGCAGCAGGACAATGACCCAAAGCACACTGCCAACAAAACAAATTACTTCATCAGGGGAAAAAAGTGGAAGGTTTTAGACTGGCCAAGTCAATAATCAGCTGACCTTAACCCAATAGAGCATGCATTTCACCTCCTTAAGAGGGGAGAAACACCCCGAAAGAAACAAGAACTGAAAGAAGCTGAGGTAAAAGCCTGGAATAGCATCACAAATGAAGAAAGCAACAGTTTGGGTCACAGGCTTGAGGCAGTTATTGCAAGCAAGGGTTATACCACCAAATATTAAATTATTAGTTATATTAAGTTATTTACTTTAAGATTATTTGTTCCATTACTTTTGCTCACCTAAGAATGCTGTGGTCTAATACAAACGGTGATATGTCCTAAGTTGTTTAACACATCTAGATGTGAATACCAGGAAATAAAAGCTAAAATTCTGAACTCTCATCTCATACTCATCTTTTGATCTTAAACCCAGATGTCTTCGGTGAACAACAAAAACAAAGGAATTTGCCTTACCGTTTCAAAACTTTTAGAGGGGACAGGACGCAAGTGTGTCATTTAAAGTCCTTTAGTGCGGTCGCAGAATTGCAGTGTGAAACCAAACTAAAACTAACCGAATGTATCAAAACATGAACTTTGGTTCAGACCTTGGTGCAGACTTTCAGGTGTGAAAGCCCCCTTAAACTGCCTGATAAGCTGTCGCGTCCTTCAAAACCATCTTTAATGTGACCTCAGGCTGCTCAAAAATACAAACTCCATCCAATTAAATAATCACAACACATAAACATTTTGAAAGTAACACCAACCTTCTGTCCCTCCTTTCAAACCAAACCACCTTTCTTTCCTAAATAATATCCATAGTGTGTGTGTGAGGTTGTGAGTTATCTGTCAATGTGTTATGTTTTGCCCCATCATGTGTGTACCTGCTGGACAGTTTGGGATGTGACGATGGTGGTGACTGTGCCTCCCTGCTGCACCACCACTCCCTGCTGATGACCGGGATACACAGGCTGGCTATGCAGGTAGCTGGCTGTGGGTTCAGTGTACGCCTTCAGAGACACAAAGTACAATCCAGACATTCAGAAATCAGTTAGTGTGTGATCAGCATGTGCTGCAATGGGCCGTAGTGTTCAATGATGAATTATTACACCATAGTGGATTAATGATTTGCACCAATGCACAAGTGGAGATGGAAGTCGTCCCCCCCCCCCCACTGTATTTGATTATTTTTACTGTATTCAGTGATTCTTCATTTCTTATGATTTGATAATGGTAATAAAACTGCAAAAGAGCAGAAAATTAGATATTCAACAGTGAGAGCAATTAGAAAAGCTAACCAGATAATAGAGCAGGGGTCAGCAAATAAGTCTGGCATTGGGCCAAATTTTTCCAAGCCGTTATATGGTGGGCCAGAACAAACCATATGAATTCATGTGCGCGTTTAGCTCAGTTGGTGCAGTGCAGGACTCACGACGGGTAGGTTGTGAGATTGATTCCTTCTTATTGCGGATATTTTTTTCTCCCTTGTTAAACAAATTGAATAAAAGGACACTTTTGCACATGCTTACATAAAGCAGGTGCTGCAGTGCGTGAGCGTTCCAGCGTTTGATCCGCATTCATAAACCTATGGGCATTTATTTTCATTTCCCTGAGAAAATTCAGGGCAATCCAATCATACGTTTACTGACGGCTTTTTCAGAGGTGTGTCAAGCAGGCCAGAGACTCTTTTGAATTTCCTTCAGAACTCTTCAAAAGTAAAAGCTCTTAATAAACTCGACATGAAGCATTGCTGCAATAAACGCTCTTGCGCTTTTATTTTAGAGGTACAATCACTTAAGAGGAAGTGCTTGTGTGAGTAACTGTTGCTGTCATGACAGATCTATTTCAGCACCAGCCGTTATCACCGCTTCTGGCCGACCACTGTCATAGAGGATATAATCACCCTACCTGTATGACCGGAGTGTTGGCCTGAGGGTAGGCGGTGGGGATGCTGTATATAGTTTGGCACGGCTGGCCCTGGTAATAGATAGCCGTCTGTGTCTGAGCCTGTGCTGGGGCTGGGGCATACTGCTGTGCAGGCTGTGTCTGCACAGTCACTGCCTGTTGAGTAGTGGGATCCCAGACAGTGGTGTAGCTCTGCTGGCCCTGTAACGCAGGGGCCGCCTGGGCAGGTACAGAGAGGACAGCCACACCTGCGTCCTGGGTTGCTACAATTGGCTGGGCATACTGCTGAGGGTTGCCAGTGGTGAGGTTGGCGGTGGTGATGTGCTGAGAGAGATTAGAGACTGGAGTAGCCTGGGAAGTGGAGGATGGAGAGGTCAGTCCCATGTCTGAGATAAGACGCTGGGGAGGTGTCTGTTCATAGTTCATGGTGGGCTCAACCGCAGGGGTAGGTAGCAGTACTTTGCCGGCATTGGGGTTGGAGGGATCCACAAAGGTCTGGATGGGATATCCAGGAGGGTACGTGATGAAGCCAGGACTGGAGGCATAGGCCAGAGCAGGGTCATAAGCCATAGTTTGAAGCTGCTGCTGCTGCTGTTGTTGCAGCTGTTGTTGTTTCTGGGCTTCCCGCTGAGCAACCTCCTGCTCAAACAGCTTTCTGCGCTCCTCTGTGGAGAGCTTGTTGCGCTCTTTGCCACCAGTTCCCCTTGGTGTCTTGTTGCTGTTAGACTGGTCAAACCTAAAAAATCCAAAGAACAAGATCACAGTCCAATGCCAAAACTTTACTACGAAAACAGCTGAACAAAGATTGCACTTCACTTGGAAGAATCTCTCGACAGTGTTCCCACAATCACAAGAATTCTCACCGTTCTTCAGTGCGTCGGCTGCTCCTCTCGTAGGACGATGGTGGCGGAGAAGCAGAGCGTCTCCTTCGTCTCTCAGTGCTGCGTGGAGTTTTGTCAGAGACTCGATCACGATCTCTTTCTCTGTCTCTGTCCCTGTCCCTGTCTCTGTCTCTGTCCCTGTCCCTGTCCCTGTCCCAGTCACGGTCCCTGTCCCTGTCCCTGTCCCTGTCATAATCTCGGTCTCTATCGCGTTCCCTCTCCTTCTCTCGCTCCCTTTCACGTTCTCGGCTACCAGATGTGGTGCGTGGCGTCAAGGCTGTGTCCCGATCTCGGCTGCGATCTGTGAGAAAATCAAATTAGTCATTAGTCATCCAGTAAAAAAAAAATAAAATCTGGGCCAAAAACCAGCATTAGACTAAACTTACCATTTGCTTCCTTTTCCACCTGACTCTTCTTGGGTATTCTGTATACCTCCTGAAAGGACAAGGACAAGTTCAAACTTCATAAAACAATAGAACACAAACAGATAACTAACAGAAAAGGGATAATACTTCACATTTCTATGAATGTTTAATAATTATATCTGCCTTTTAAGGGGACTATTTGAGCTCACCTTCAGATCCTTCCAGCTTTCCAGAAGCCTGGCAGCCATGCCACTAATGTCCAAAGCACTGAGTTGGGGCTCCTGACTCCTCTCGCTCTCCACATCTGAGACACCTTCCTCTTCATCCTGAGAAGGAGTTCCTATCACGGATGGGTCCACAGGGGTTGCTGTGACCTCAGAAGGCATACTGACCTCTGGGGTCTCAGAGCTTGGGGCTGCATCAGTCGTAGATTCATCAGGTTGCGTCTCACTGCCAGGAGGTTTCTCATCCTCTTGTGTCTCTGCCTGGGCTTCCATATTTTCTGAAGGCTGCTCAGGTGGCAGATCAGCAACCTCTATTTGGATAGGCTGACTCTCCGGCTCGAGAACTTTATCGGTGGGCTGATCTCCCTCTTGTTCCGTCTTTTCTGTCACTGCCTGACTGGTCTGCTCCTCTTGGCTCTCCTGTTCTTCACTAGGCTCTTTTAGCCCCTCAAGTTCATCTGTCGGACCCTCACTGGTGTCCTCTTTCACTTCAATTTCCTTCTCCAAATCCAACTCCATTTTTTCTTTAACCTCCTCAGTTTGAGTCTCTTCCCGTTTTTCCACTTTCACTGACTCTTCCACCGTTCCTTTCGTTGGCTCTGCAGCATCACACGCTGGGTCTGCCTTCAACTGTTTGCCGTCAGGAAGTTCTGCATGTGAGGATTCATCTTCTTCCTCATCATCGTCCTCCTCCTCTTCCTCCTTCCCATCAGATGCTTTGCTCGTGTCAGAGAGTGCGCTGTCCAGACTGTTTTCACTGATGATTTTAAGGCGGCGGTAAACAGCAGGTTTGGCGGTGTCACCATCCAATTCTGGTCCCAGTTTGGTGGAGGAACCATCAGGAGTGTTGAGGGGTGTTTGAGCACGGGAAGTGTTCTCACTAGAGTACCCATCCATCTCAACAGGCTGAGGGAGAGTTTTTGTTTGGGCCCATCGCTGAATAAAGGTCAGGACTCTGCTCTCCTCCAACATGTTCTTAGTAGAGATAGGCAGCACAGCCAAGGTCTTCATAATCTGTAAATAGAATGGATTATCAGTGATCAAACGGCAAATGGCTGTGTATATGACCATACAGGCTAAGAGGATTTTAAAATTCTTAGTTACTTCAGTGGAATGTGACACAATTATGAATTGTATATGAATTATGAATGTTTTAATTTAAGTGTTGTTACCTCTAACTGCAGTTTGGTGTTATTGGCGCTGTTGCCTTTAGCTTCAGAAAGCTCCACCATGAAGATCCACAGCAAAGACAATCCATGATGGTCCAGGAACTGCTTCAGGCATGACGGATTTTGAGTATCCTGTGCAACACAAACATATATTACATACTGCAAATGATAAAAAATATCAACAACATGAACGAGGCAGCAACTACTCAGTCTTCAGGGCTCGACAATAACTGTGGCCCGATGGCCCGGGGCCAGTAAAACATAACGACGGGACAGTTGAACTAGCAACTCACTGGCCCAATTGGACCAGTGCAAAAACATAAATATTTAAAAAAAACAACAACAAAAAAACCCAAACTCAACATCCTGCTGTTTTGCAGCTCTTGGCACGCACCGATATCCAGTCCAGAGTTGTAGTTATGTGACGAGAGGTTGTCAAATATTATTTCTCTAATCTCAATCATGCGGCAACCTCTGGGTCGAAAGTGAAACCATGCAGACGGAACTTAAAGCTGCATTCTCTCTAACGGCAGCAGGGGGCGAGTTCCATTAGAAATAATGGTAAAATTACCTAAGTAAACACTTTTAAATGAGCTTATGGTCTCAGTCGCTAGTTTCACGTCTTCTTCAACACAGCATGATGTTCATTTAGTATAAAATGGTCCTATTTAGGGGAAAATAGACAATAGGGACTACCTTGTGATTGACAGGTCGCTACCATGGCAACCCGTTCATCAGGATAGAGGCGACTGTGTCCGCTGCGCTGTGTACATTTTTCATAAATGGTTGTCAGCAGGAGAGCACGTCATGTTTGAGTCTGTTAGTGTGTTTTGTTTTAAAAGTAAATTGTTTTGTTAACCTTTTTATTTTTTATAAATTTAACTGTGATTAGATTTTTGTTCAGTTTTTTTATATCCAGGATGTATTTAATAAACGATTAAAGATGTTTGGAAGGAGGGACAGTAAAAATTGTCTTCGGGAAAGTAAGTTTCAAACCCACTGGCCCGGTGGGGCCAGTTGCAAAAAAGTTTAACATTGAGCCCTGGTCTTACTTGTATGAGCTTGAGGCAGATGAGTTTCTGCTCCATCGTTTCCACTCGGACCATTAGCCTGCAGAGAGACACCACCTGTTTCTCATCATACAGGCCTTCTCCATTCTCCAATAAGGCCTCCAGCTCCTCATCAACCTGAGGGAGGACAAAGTGATGTCAACGTCAAAAATAAAATAAAAAATCTTGGAGAAACTTGTGTAAAAAAATAAAAATAAAAATTGATCGTATGCCAATTTCAGCTTATTCATTATGTTAATGTGATCGAAATGTAACAACGTTAACATTACTGCCAGCCAGGTGTAAACCAATGTCAAGACACATTTCAAATATGACTGAAAGAACTGACCGTGGTGAGAGCACTCTTTCGGCTGCGGTCTTTCTTCATCTTCCCTCCAGCCGCCCGAACACTAACTCTGTTCTCCCCACCCAGGAAGCCTCTGCAGCTGGGCGCTCCACAGAAGCATTTCTGTGCTTCTTTGCTGTAGATAAAAATGAAACAAAGGGGAAATCACCATGGTTAAACCATCAGTTATACACATAAATAACCACTCTTCATGAACATATTCAACTATATATTATTGGGGGGGGGGGGGGGGGGAGTAAAAGTACCCGTATCTCTGGAACTGGTAATCAAATGTCAGTTCTGTTCCTGCAGAGACAGCCTTGGTGGTGAAGAACCCAACTCTAAGCTGTCCATTGACAGTCCACTGGAATATGATAAAAGTCATCATCAGGCTGGTCAGCTTTCAGTAAGTTAACTTGAAAGAGTATTATTAAAGTGCTTTATTTTGCCACTGTACCTTTTGGGTCTCACAGTTGGGCTCGCAGCTATGGTTCATAAACCGAGAGCAATTACCCTTCAGTGTTGCATCAATGATCTGAAGAGACATAACGCAATGTCAAGTATTTGTGCCAGCCACTATACCTGAAATATTAAACCAAATTGCAGTCTTAAGATAAAACAGTAATTGTAATGTGTTGCATCATTGCTTACCTCATTATTCTTTAGAGACATGAAGTAGTAGTGGATGTTCTTATTGCGTGCATATTCTTTGACCCTTGTTTTGAACTCCTTGTGGTCCAATACCTCCCCGCAATATTCCAGCACAAAGGTGTTTCTGTGACCGCAATAAAAACAATCACGTGACAATCATCTTGCCTACATTTTCAACCACAACATTTAAGAACATAACTGCCATACAAAGCTCTGATTAAGGTGGTATATTAGCTTTATGTCTGTTTCCACAATGTAGATGATACCATCCTTACAAATGACTATACTGTAACATTACTTTTTTTAATGCACAAAGTTTGAAACAACAACAAAAACAACTTTACTGTGTAATCCAATAGAGCAGCCCCACAATATGAATTAATTTTAATGTTAAATTCTAGAAGGAGATTTCAAAATATTGTACTAAAAGCTTTTAAGAGGTTTACGGAGTCAAGTCTTTAGCTGCCCGTAGTCCCCAACCCTTGTCTTCTGTGAGGATAACGTCAAAGTCTGCATGTTGTTTCATCTGAAAGCGTCGATTAGAGCAGTAGGCTCCATTCAGGCACCGTGAAGAGCTGAAAAAAATAAAAATGTTAACATGAATGTCAACAGGCTCCTACACATTTTTGATTGCACTTTACATTATTTACTAACACTTTCTTTTTTATGGGCTTAACTTTGTTAGTTGGATTTGCAAACAGAATGATTTATACAGACTCTTATCCAACTCTTAGGTACACGATGTTATTAGATTTCCTGATGCTAAAGTAGTAAGGTAAAGTAAATTTGTCAGGGTGCAGAAAATGAGATAAAAAAGTATTTGAACCTTTTAAAAAAGCTGAGTTCTTATATATTGCCTAGGGGTGACCCCGAATAGTCAAAGATCCAAAGATATAATAATAATAATAAACTAGGATTAAACCATTTTTGCTATATGGGGGTGCTCAAGGTCTGATTTTACATAGAACTACCCGTTTTCTCCCAATAATTTAATATACGTCCTATTATGATGTAAATATCAACATATAATACTGTAAATAAACATGTGAAAACAAAGAAGCTTTTAAGAAATCTTTTAAAATGTGTGTGAATAAATCCACAATTGTAACCCTAACCCTTAAGGGCGTCAGTGGCGTAGTATGTGTGTGGGGTAGAAGAGGGAGACTAGTAGGGCTGGACCCGAATATTCGACCGTTGGGTACACATTTGATTTTCAATTTTGAGATTCGATTATTGAGGTTTTTTTTCGTGCGCCTGACCTCCGCTGACAGCAGTGAACGTAACACTCCAGTTCACATCAAAGGGAAAACTAAATTAAGCCCTCCACTGTGTGGGAGCACTTTAAACGGAGTGATGACAGCAGTAGTGTGGCAGTTTTGCCGTTTATTAATTTTACAATTGCTTAATTTCATTACAGATCAAAACATCAAAAAAATTTCCTACATTTTAAAATTAAACAGTAGCAAAATTGTAGGCTGGAAACAAACAAACAACAACATAATGAACATTTAGTCGCTATAACAAAAGTTAAAAGTGAAGCTTCGAAGCTCCAAAAATTACATTCGGGCCAGCCCTAGAGACTAGACCCGGGAGGAACCGTGTGTATGCAATTGTCAGCAAGTCAGCGGACACAACTCTGCACAAGAGTGGTAAATGGCAGGTGAGCAGAGCAGAGAGAAAAGGGTCAACAATAGGCCTCAGTTTAGCTGGAAATGTGCAGTGTAAGTTTCACTGACTAATGAACAGAGACTGCAGCTTTGCAGCTTCTCGAGATTAAAGCGGAGCTACCTTGTGTAAACACCCCTGACATACACAGATTCAACTATAGGCAATTCTTGATAATTCTTATTCGACAATGTAAATCCTAAATCGGGGACAGCTCTAATATAGTCACAGCTTCACCTGTAATAATTAACTTACCACTCAATCATCAGCAGCCGGTTTAAACAGTCCTCCCCGCATGCTAATACTCCCCTTGAACGTTCCTCTCTGGGCAGCACTGGGCACTCACATTGCATTCTTTTGATATCTCGATGAGATTTGCTTTTCTTTCTGCAGAAAACATTAAAAAGATTTCAAAGCTCAAGCCTGAAAGTACTTAAATGTTCTATTATTTATTTTTTTGTACAAACAAAACATTTGTTTTGTTAATTAGACTGGACAACACCTTACCTCTCAGTCAGGTACAGGTTCTCCTCAATCAAGTCAAAGTAAGGGGGCATCTTCTTAGACTTGGAAGACTCTCTCCATTTATGGGCATCTTGAAAGTCTTGCAGAGTGAGCGTTGGACGTTGCACCTCAGCTTTGACTTGAGTTTCCTTAGAGATGTCAGTCTCTCCCTGACGCTCCCGCTTGCCTGCCGGCCCAGCTTCGGCCTCATTGTCAGAGTCTGACTCAATCTCTGGACGCCTTTTCTTGGGAGGGCCCCGGCCTCTGTGGGGTCTAAAACTGTCTTCTCTAGGGGGGTCTGGCACAGCAGGGCCCCTGCTGTTGCTGCTTATTTCATGACCTTGTACAAAGCTTGATGAGCCAGGAGTGTTAGGTCCACTGCATTCAACAGCTGTTTTACGAAGATTAGATAGTTTATGCCCACTGTAGTCGTCATGGTCATTAGTTAGGGAGTCAGGATGGATTTCGCCTGCAGGATCCTGATAATGCTCATGCACATGGAGGTAGGGGTTTCTGTTAGTCTGCATGTTTGGGGATTGGTGGTTCCAGGAGGCATTACTCTGCACATGCTCCTGTTCCTTGGGAGAGATTTCTGTCAGTTTAGTGTTGGGTAACTGTGGCCCATGACTGCTATCAGGCTGCTGGTATGTACTACTGGGTTGTTCTGGTTGCGAAAAATCCCAACCCAGGCTGAATCCGTTCTTGTCATTGATATTGTCAGCACTGGAGAAATCATCGTGTTGGTAATGGGAGTAAATCCTTTCACCTCTGCTGCTTAGATTATGCTGTTGCTGCCCTTGCTCACACTGTCGGGAATTATCAAGGCTGGAGGCAGGATCTGTAGTACTTCCATGGGCACCGATATGACCAGCCATGTAAAGCTGGGCACAGATGGAGCTGGAACCCTCAGAGTGACTGGTGCTATCAATCATATTACTCTGGGACTGACACAACATAATGCTTTCAGATGAATCATTTACACTACATGGACCACTGGTCTCCACGCATGCAGTGGAAGGACTCCCCTGCTTTTGTTTTGGGACTTCACTGATATTCACGTTAGCTGCTACATTAGCATTCTGCAGTTCTGAACTATTCATTGCTGTGCATGGAGAAGCTCCTGTGTCCTGTGTATCCATTGTTAGGGAAGAATTCTTTGGCACCACCACCACAGAGTGCAATCGTTTTATAGCCTCGCCGCAATCAGAGTCGTACTCAGAGTTATCACTATCACTGGCCTCACTCTGTCCTCCGAATGCATTCTGATTGAGTGATGTTGTCTTACTCAGTTTGCTATCATGAGCACTGTCCTTGGATTTTTCTTCATGACCATTCCAACTATGCATTTTTGCAGCTTTATCGACCTGTGATGCATCATTTTGAGCAACACTCAGTTTTAAGTCACAGGGGTTAATAAAAGTGCTCGCCTGTGAAGGCTCACTTTGGTCTTTGTAGTTATCAGTCATGGACGTGCTCTCTGAGCCAACTTCTTGCATTGACATCTCAGTCCACTTTGCCAATTTGGAATGTTTTTCAGGTTCTTGCTGAATAGTATTGTTAATGTCAGAGTTACTGTCTGTCTGGTTACTGTCTTTAGAAAACTCTATTTTTTTGACAGATATCACTTTTTTAACAGCAGGCTTACTCTCTACACAAAGTATCCTCTGCGAATGATCACTCTCTGAGGTGTCCTGCCCAACAATATCCCATCGGGACTTTTTGGTAGTACTGCTGCTCTTTGTCACAGTATCTGTATTTTGTTGTTCAAGTGTAAGCGGATTCTTAGATTCAAGACATGATGAATCAGATTTGAGCAGCACACTTGTGCCACACTGCTTGTCAACTGTCGGACCTTTATTCGGCTCAACAATCTCTGGTTTAGTGTTCTGCTGGACATCATGTGTGACAGATACATCTGCTGTATAAAGTAAGGACATTGGCCCTGGTGCACAGTCCACAACTTTCTTGTCCTGGATGCACATTATACTATCATTACTACTGCATGAATATAAGACAGCTGCATTTGAGTTCACATGTGGTCGGTTATTACAAGAAAGGCTATCCTTCACATTGGTCAAGTTTTCCAGGGCGGAATTTACATGCTTTAAGCTTTCACTTGAGGTTATAGCTGAGGCATTTTCATTCTCAACTTCAACACCTGACTTTGTTTCTTTTGATTTCTTGGACGACGATTCTTGCAGACTCTTATCAGTGCATGAGACAATCTCCTTAAAATCCTGATTATCATTTCCAACTTGTTGGTTATCAGATTTTTCTTTTTCACACAATTCTGTGTTGTTTGCACGTGATGGTGCCTTGCCGGGGCTGTGAAATAAGTCATTTGATTCTCCATCATGTCCACTAGTTTTCACAGATCTAGAAGGCTGCTTCGAGGCTGGCCTACTGGTTTTCTTTTGGGAGTTTTTACAGTTCTCCTCTGAGCCAAAGCTTTTGTCAGAGGTCTGTGATTTTCCCTTATGATCTGCCTCAGAGTCACTAGAGCTGCCTTTTTGGCGTTTTTCATATGTTTGACAGTGAGTATGCATACTGGAAGAAGAAGATTTGTGATGGGAGCTAGATTTATGGTAACTGGAGTCCTGATCAGGTGAGCATTTGCGCTGGGAATCAGAGTCTGATAGTCGCTTTGAAGTCCTTTCAGACTTTGAAGATTGTGTTCTTTTATCCAACTCTGAGGAGTGAGGAGAATCTGCAGATTTAGAGGCCTTTTCAGATTTTGAGTAGGAAGATGATTTTGACTCTTTATATGAGGTTGCATGGGTAGATGACCTGCTGGAGTCACTTGTCCTCGTCCTTGTCTTCCTATGGTCATCCTCAGAGTCAGAACTGTCCCGAGTTCTGTCGGTGCGAGAACGAGAACGTCTTCTCTCTCTGCGTGGAGAACTCCTGTGTGATCGCCGATCAGAATCATGATAGTATGACCTTTCAGAGCGGCATCCTCTGTCACCTCGAGATCTCTCTGACCGAGAGTGAGATGAACTTGTTCGAGACCCTCTTGATCTAGACCGTGATCTAGACCTGGACCTTCTACGATCTTTGTCTGATCGAGATGAGCGTAAAGATGTGTGTCTAGAATCACGGTCTGATTTGGAGTAACTAGAAGACCTTTCATGATTCTCTGACCGCTTACAGGAACTTTTTTCCTTTTCCTCCACGTGTGAACCCGAGGAAGACTTTTTTATCTCTTTGTTTCTGCTGTCAGAGTTCGTTTTACTTTTGGAGTCAACAGATTTGCGACTGGAAGACATCTGGACTGAATCTCCATCAGATTCTGAGCCAGGGGCTGCACTATTAGTTTGGGACCTGGTTTTCCTTTTGTATACCTTACTGTCCTGCTCAGCACTACTGGAACTCTCTCTGTCTTTTCCTGAGGAAGCCGCTGGCTTCTTGAGGCTAGGGGTTACCCTTGTCTCAGAGTCTTCAATGTACGTATTCTCAGAGGGGCAGACACTGACGACACTCTGAGGCTGGGGTATTGGGAATTCAGTTACACTCTTCCTTGTTGATTTCGGCAGAATCTGCAATTCAGAGGATTGGGGTTCCTCTGGCACAACAGGTGTTGGCTTCTTTTCAGTCACAGAGACACTAAGAATTTGCTTCTTAAAATGCATCTTTGCTAAGTCCGTTTTCAGTTTAGTGGCTGAGGAGATTTGTGTTTCAGACAGTGTGTCTGCTATTGATGTTGGCACCATTGGTGTCTGCTTTTGCTCAGTTTTGCTGTCGGTATCCTGCCCGCCTTTGTCTGAGGTGGACTGTGACGAGGCAGGGAGAGGTTCAGCGACAGACTTGTCAGGGCTGGCGGGGATGAAGAACAGGCTCTGCAGTGGCTTCTTGGTCGGTGCAAAGCTGAAGGACACTTTCTGACGACCCTGATCCTCTAGGTTGACCTTCATCTTGGTCCCTTTAGGCAGGAGATGGTTGGATAGCATGACTCTGGGAGACAAGCTTTTGATTAGAGCTGCCTTGGATAGGCCCTCCACCTTCACCTAAAATTAAAGAGAGACCACAAATAAGGCTGTAACCGGAGTACTGTGAGAATCATGAGACATTCCTGTTGTATCATAACAAAGGTTGCTTAAATGCTGATGAAAACAGATAGTAACAATCACTGATTTTGTTTAGTTAAGACTTACCGAGGCACCACTCCCCTCCTCTCTGTGGTTACATTAGAACATCATGGGAACAAAAGAGAAGAAAGAGAAATCAATTTACACAGTTCATGCAGCACAACATATAACTACTTTAAGACAATCAGGAGGGATATGAATATATGAACATGTCCCTGAACATACTGTGTGTGCTCCTAATTGTTAATGACTTCAAAGCACAACATCTGTTGTCCAGTCTACAACAGCGTTAGGTGTACTCTTTCCACTGCCTTCTGTAATTTGTATGTTTTCCAAAATCGTGAAGTTAAAAAGACCTGTTTTACTATTACTAAGCATTGTTGAGATTTATCTCCATGTTTAAGTATAGAAAATACTCATAATACAGAGAGCATTTTTGAATTTCATCTAAACAACGGTTGTCATTTACAAATAGTAGTGAGTGACAAGAAATCGAGATGAATGGCTAACATGTGACAAAACTCCTAGGATACATCCCAGTGCTTTGCAGTCATATCATAGTATCTAGCCTACATGCTCACGTTGGTGCAGTGAAGAACAGACAGTGACAGGAATTAATGGATTTAAATGGCAGGTAAATGGCAGGAAATCCTCATGTGCCAGTCAGGTATATTGGCCCACTGACTACACATATTACTAGAGTTTCCACTATCTTTTACACGGAGAACTAACCATTGGAATAGCTAAAAGAAGGGAATGGCCGGCCACAGTTAAACAAAATCAATTAAAAAGGTGTAATTTATTTATTTAAACAGAAGAATAAAAGTATAGTGCCTTTTCATTATGAACTTACGATCCATCCATAATCCATAGATGAGCTCCAAGCGTTTCAAACTGTGCCATATCATGCAGTGGAAATTAAGCACTTGAGGGCAAATTTGGCTAGGAGCACATTTTCTTGGTCTCCCACTCAACAGATAGCTGTATGTAATATGCCAATATCCACACAAGTAATAATTGAATTATCAACTTCAGCTTCATTTTTACTAGAGCTCAGTTTCAAATAATGTATAAGTGAGAATACTGGATATCTAAAAGATATTTGGTATTTAACCCAAGCTGGATGTGGATTCCTTTAGAGAAATATCCCCTCAGAATATGATCTGGTGCACCCATAGAAAACCCATGCAAACATGAAAGGCGCATGCAAGCTACGCACAGGACTGCTATTCAGCCCCAGGATGTGTCTCTTATTTTGAGGCTACAGTGCTAAACAAGAACCACTATGCAGAAAAAGACAACTACAGACCTCTGTAGATAATCAAATATGGGTCCAATGAGCCTCCACAGTAATAGCCTAGCTTGCAAAGGCTGGACTAAGTCCCTACCAAAAATGTACATTGCACTATAGATGGTGTGCTTCACTTTGTCACATGATACAATCCCTTCAACACCACTGAGACACCAAACAAAGCCATTAGGGCTTATAAAGTAAAGGCCATATGAAACTAATATGATCTGTATGATAGACTAAAATATATTTTTGCATACGCATGCATGTGTATATATACAATTATGTACGCTAAAAAGGAAAACCCGGCATACAAGAGCCAAGATACCTGCTCAATCACAAGGACTTCAACTAGTATTCTTTTCTGTGGACATGACTGTAAAAGTATTTTGACATTATTATATGTTTAACTTTAGAAAATGATGTAGTTAGTCAACATTACACATCCTTTAAGAAAATATTGCATCATCCTTCATCTCTTCTCTTAAGTCTTCAGCAGTGGAAGCCTCTACAGTCTGGATTCTGCATATTTACATTTGCCAAACTGCTGAATGTGGTCAAAGGTTAGGGTTATGGACTTGGATCTTTCTATTGTTAGGTTCCATCACTCTTTAAAGAGAACACTGAAACGTCTGTGTTGATGGGATGAACATGGGTTTAAATTTTTTTGTGATTCTGTGATAAATTCTGCTCTATCCATTTCAGATTTATTCTAACCCCTAAACCTAAGTAAGCAGACCGTAAATACACCAAAACAAACTGTAAACAAAATGTAGAGTATATTTAGATGATCTGTGAAGGTCCATAAACAAGGGTGATCCGTGAAGGTTTAAACCAGGGTTAAAACAACCTTAGCAACTAATAACCTGACCAACTCACATTGAATAGCTTGACCATCTACATTGCTGAGACTAGCAACTGGTTATCAATTAAAAAAAAAAAACAAATGAAGCAAAAAAAAAAAAAACAAAATCACCCACAAACACAGAGATTTAAGTATTCATACAAAAAAAGAACAATTGGGTTTTTGTACGTCCTTTTGTCCTATTAAAAGTGTCTGTGTTTTCCTTAGGGTTGGCTCAATATGGGTGCAGGGAAACAACTGGGTCATTCAATCCTTTAGGATTTCATTTTTTCCTTTTTCTCTGTGACCTTCAAAATGAGACACTTCTGCAATGACATTCTGTTATATAGACAGAGCTATAACAAGCAGCAACAAATCAAGTGATTAATGGACTGGACCCACTAGTCTACGAAATGCACCCTTTTAGTTTAACATCGCAGAAATATTTTTTACACCAAATGTCTTCCTAACTGTAGTGCACAACTGTTTCATGTTTCAGTTAGCAAACAAAAAAAAAGTGAACATAACATCCAATACAAAGGCTTATGGTCATCCATTGCTCCAATACTGTGACATAAAACTAACTGATAACATTTCTTTCCTACTAATAATGTAGTGATTTTGTTCATCAAGGAGAATTAAAGTACACATCTTTACTTCACTAGGCTACTGTATACTCTATATGTGGCAAAAGTGCACAAATCCCTATCTATATGCTGGCCAGTCACAAATAACAACATAAATAGATAAAAATAAGTGAAGACAAAATGTTATCAGACTCCTACATTTAAAGAAAAATAGCCAAACACCTTTTGCAGACGACAGTCTTGTATTTACAATTGTTAGTTGTGTTTAAGAGGACTTAGCATGACCTTGAAATCAACATGTTTCACAGTAAATTGGTGCCAGAAAGATCTAAACAGACTGCACCCAAAACAAAATACAACTTGGTAACCATACAAAAATGATTCCCAAATTCATATCAAAATACTCTAAGCAAGACAACAGTGAGTTGCATTTTGTGCTGTCTAATACCTGATTTCTGACTTGAGCAGAGTGTCCATTGAGAAACTCGTCTAGGATTAGAAGGCCTGAAGAGGCTGCTGGCCAAGAATAATCCAAATCAGAGAAATGACACCTCCAAAGTGACGCCACACCTGACAAAAAGAAAGATAGGGTTGCAATGAACTGAGTCTTGCCCACAACGGCTTACAGCTATTCTGTCAGGAACTTTTTTAATTTTGACATCATTGACATCTGATAAAAGTCCTACAAATGCTGAAATTCAACTTTTTCCTTTGACATATTAAATATAGTGTTAAATAGTGGGTCTGGCTTGTGCAAAACAAATTGTATGTACACCACTTCAAAAAATACGTGGTGTCACATGCTTTGAACCATTGAGCCGAATTCTACAGGCATCCCTTCCTGATATTCCTGTTATCTATCGTTGCCAGTTGCACGTCTTAATATTTACTGTGTAATGAGACAAAGACTCCCCTTTTCTCAGTTTGGTGGGCTGTTAATCTCTACTGCTGCCGCTTTAGATGGATCACGGCAACCGCATAAATAAAAGGTTACGTTCACCTATGTTATAAATAGTGCTATCATGGTCGAAGATAGATGAAAAACATGGATGTAGGACGAGTAGAGAACATGCATCTCATCATTAAACATGTAAAGCGCAAGCTAATGGCTTGCAGAAAACGAAGCATATCTGCAGAATAAGGATTTATATAAAACAACACGTCGACACTCTTGTGAAAACCGGTTTGAAGCAAATTAGTAAACTAACTAAAGCCTGGCCTGAGCGGGAGGATTGAATGCAGCCAAACATGGCCTTTAAAAGGATGATTACCCACTATGACAACGAGTAGAGGATGTGTTGAAAACATATCAATTAAGTGACATACTTTATCAAGATTTGCTAACCAGTCACACTACACATTTTATATAATTAGTAAACAGGCAGGTATTGTCACATTAATTTAGCTATTCGACTGTGGCGCTGGTTTATAAAACAGATCAGAACCAGCTAAGCTAACTTGGGGAAGCGAAAAAGAGCTTCCGAAGGCCATCTTTAAAGATAGCGTTAGCTCGTGTTGTGCTATGTGTATATCATGTTGTTAATGTTGAGTACTGCACAATTTTCTGCTAGGAAATGCCATCAATATCAAGTGTAACTGGTATTATCCCAGTTAGAGGAAAACAATCAATGTTTGTGTCTATAAACGAAGACAGCTAACTAGCCAAGGAACTCTACTAGCAGCAACAGCTAACGCTAGCTGGGTCAACTTAGCTAACTCTCGCACTGTAACTAGCAGGCTAACGTTACTGTTGTTAACTTGTGTTTTACTTGTCGATCTTTGATCTGTCACGAATGTGTTAAGTCATAATGACTATGGGTTTCTCAACTTGTAGGGAACTCGTAACTTTTGTAATTAAATGAATTAACAGGAAGGCTTTGATATACATTTCCGTTGTAGGATATAATGGACCCGTGTACTAGAGTCTCGGCACCCGGCTTTCCTAGCATGCTAGCTAGTGTTTTGTCTTACTTGTGTGTTAGGAAGATGGTTAAACCACAGTTAACGTAATGCTAAGTAAAAATCATCGGTTCACGAGGTACTCACTTTACGAAGTGCTTAAGGTCACACGGTTCCCCCATCTTCGAAATCGCCTGTAATCGGCCCTTTGTAAAACATCAAGCAACAATGTATGCCGACGTCAAATCCATACGGAGCTGTCGGAAATGATCGTCGGCTCAGAAGCTCTGCTACTGCTGCGCCCCAGCTTCAGCCTGGGTGAATGTTGGTACTATCGAGCTAGCATGAGCTCACATAGTTAGCCAAGAGTTGGACGAGAGATCGAGAACACACATGATCACGAAAGCCAAGCCACAGACCGTGTCTTCATTTGGTCAAGCTATAAAGTTACAATAAGACTGGCGACCCGATCTCCTTAAAGGATAATGAACATGTCTTTGGAATACCTTTTTATTCCACACACTGACTCTCACAGTGTCTCTCTGGCTGTAGCTGCTGTGTTCAACAGCATCACATGATGTGGGAGAATAGCTGGCGCGAACCCTGGAGCGCACTGCAACCACCGAAATAAACAAATGAGACTACAGAAAAACTGAAAGCCCCAGTTCTATTATGTTTAATAAGCAACGAAACAGCGAGGCAGAGAAATGAGAGAGCAACCTCGGGCCCCTACACCGAAACCACTTTCCTTGGTCTTGCCATACATTAAATTGTTTTTTTAATTTTGTGCCCAGGAAATGCGTGCTGTGGGAGAGTTGGACTTGGATAGAATATTGTTACATAATTCTCAAGTCTGTCAGTGAGTAACTAAGGTAAATTTAGGATTATGTCTAGGACACACAGGATTCAAGGCAACATATCGTTAAAAAAAAAGCGTCATACGGTAAGGAAAGTGTTGAGAATGTGCTGTTAGGTTGAACGTTAGTAGGTTCAATGTAGTGAAATGGAAAGAGAGTGGAGCTAAAGGTCTGTGGGAGATACAAAGAGACAAACAATATCATGTGAGAATGGCTTTATTTAAATAATTAAATGAAACAGATTTAATATACAGAAACGCGTTATGGGGTATGATGTTTTACACTCACGGACAATAGGGGCGGTATGCACCGTCGGATTGCAGCGCGTGATTTGAAGCACGGAAGAAGACGAAGAAGAAGAATCTTCGAGACGAGAGTGAAACGAAGCTGAACTTAATTGATCTGAAAATATCTGTTATTCTCGATTTGTCACGAGAATCTGTGCTTGTCATTCCTGTAAGTTGTGTCGTCGGCCAGGTAGCTATTATGTGTTATTAATGGAAAACGCATTGTCATTGCCATCAGATGAGCTGAAGCTACAGGCCTAGCTGGCTACATAGCTAACGTTAGCTCAGCTCGACATTTTGCTAAGCTTTGTTTGGACGGAAAGGACGTTTGCCACCTTCTGAAAGACGTACATTAGCCAAGTGAAATTGCACACGACGTTACAGTAATGTCAGATTGTGCACGTTGTATCACGTGAAGATATATAACGGTGAAATAAAGGCGTTGTTAAAGGTGGCGATGCGTGAGTTGTGTTTTTGGTTAGCTTAACGTTAGTTGGGGTGGCACTGTACTTCAGTGAACTTAATGCCCGCACGGTGGATTTAAATACGTGGATGACCAATTTGAGGATCCTCGATTTGCTAACAGGCCATTGCTCGGATTAACCAAATCGCCAGCCTTCGGAAGGAACAGCTGTGGTCGAGATTGCCAAACAAATCAATACAATCCATTTTTGCTGCCATGAATGGAATATTGTGTTAGACGAGTAAGAGCAACGCAGCGATGGAGTGGACGAACCGTGTCAAGACATCCTCATTTCAGCACTCCCCTGCAAGTGCGCAGGAAAGTTGATGTAGTTGTGCGTCCTTTGTTGCTAGTATGTTTTGGCCAGGAACGTGGTGTGCTCCATGGTGAAGAGTCTTTCCTGTCAGAACTACTTGTAGGTGGAATATATGACCTGCTAACTGATCCAACACGGGACTAAACTGAAGGAATAAGTGTTTCTGCCATGGATAAAATATTGTCTTAAGAGCAAAAATCATAATTATCATGAGTTATGAATGGCGATGTGTGTTTTGTTGGTTTACGTTCTTGATCACTTAGTTTTTAAAATTGAAAGAATTTAGAAAAAATATTACAAAGCTCAAAAATAGCTGAATGCTTTGGGAAATAACTGCCACTAACAGAAGGGATTAACCAGATGGTAGTTATTTAGTTTAAATATGAGAAACCACTAGTATTGTCTTTATCATGCTGTGATGGTTTTAATGGGACAAAGGTGGGCTGCAATTAGCACAGCCGTACATTTTTGACTGTTGGCATTTGGTAAGGCAATAGATCTTGTTTAGAGATCAGTGTTGTAAATGTACAAGTTATAAAAATGATCACTTTTGTTGCGTTTTTGGCTTGTGGTGGTGCTGATATGAGCACGGTGATATTGTACTTGCTGCGTAGTTGCTGTGTCTCAGTTGAAGAACTGGCTTCTTCCAAGACTACATTTCAAGACCAAATGGATCAACAAGGCTGTCAAATGCATCGGGAAAAAATCTTGTTCAGCCCCTGGGGTTATTGATCACATTATTGGCTTAATAAGTGGAAATAACTTGGAGATAAACTTGAAAATTTCTGACTTACCATTGTGATGGACACCTGGATGCAGCATTATTGTTGGGAAGGCATCATAAACATAAAATCAGGGCTATGGTGAATCCTCTGTGGACTGTTGCTTTCTGGGAGGGGACACATTTTCAGTCTATTAGTCTTCAGGCTTCTGAAGATTACAACTTTATCAGCTGTTTTTTTTTTTTTTAAAGAATTGGTCTTTAAGGCATTTCATTTGCAAGATGCATATTTGTTTAGATAAGTTAAGCTAGTAGTGATTTTCAGATCAACATAAATGCTTTAGTTGAATTATAAGTAATGGATTTGAATAATTAAGATTCAAGTATGCGAGCTGTGCGCAACATTTTCTTATTTAACATGACTGATTGATTGATTCTAGTGGTTTGATTAAAAGGTAAACGTAGATCTAGGGCAAAAAGGAAAATGATTGTGCCATATAGATTTTGTGTTGCTTTGCCAGCATTGGATTGCATTTTAGAATGTACTGGTGAATGCTGTGGCATTGGTGTTTTCAAAAATATATTGAGTAATGATAAAGTCAGGTTTGAGAAAGATTCATGTGGAACTTGATTGAATTGAACAGTAAATACATTTAGGTTGGAATTGTTTTGAAATGTGGTTTGTAGTTAATATTCTTGATAAAGCTAGCTGCCATTTCAATGAAAGGCAGATTCTTTAAGTTCAATATTTTGTGTTTCAGCTTTCCACTCCAGAGCGTGAGATAAAGTATATGTTAAATTGTTATGTTAACCTCACCGATTGGAATTGGTTGGTTTTTAAAAAGAGTTGTGGGCTTTGATCACTATGGTGTCCCTTGTCTCTGGTGACTCCTCTCACATTGCTATTCCATTTGAGTGGTGTTATATTGGAATTGGCGCTGAGCTAGAGAAGCTCAGTTGGCAATAATGCTATTCTATACCCTTCTGTCTGCAGGTGCTGTTGTTTGTGCTTCAGCATGGCGGTCGTCATCCGTTTACAGGGACTGAGACTCACAGCAGGCTCTGAGGATATTCGCAAGTTCTTCACTGGCCTCAAAATTCCAGATGGAGGGGTGCATATAATTGGTGGAGAGCGAAGTGAAGCTTTCATTATCTTTGCTTCAGATGAAGACGCACGAAGAGCCATGACACGGTCAGGGGGTTGCATTAAGGGTGCATCTGTTACATTGCTACTAAGTAGCAAAACAGAAATGCAGAGCGTCCTTGAAAGAAGTACACAACATGTTGAGCTAGATCAAAAGAGGCATCTTGAGGAGAACACAAGACACACTAGAAGATCTGTGGACCCTGAGGTGGGCCGGAGATCAGGTAGCAGATCGGGTCATACCCCTCCCCCCCAGCACCAGAGGGTTTCAAACACTGATGACTTCTTGTATGTGTTTCTGAAAGGATTGCCTTTCTCTGTGACTGAGGTGGAAATCCGTGACTTTTTCTGTGGTTTACATGTTGATGAAATAGTCTTGTTGAAGAATGGATATGGTGCGAAGAATGGGAATGGTCTTGTCAAATTTGCAACAAGAGAGGATTCATTTGAAGGCCTGAAGAGGGATAGGAGGTACATTGGGTCAAGGTATGTGGAGGTTTCCACAACAACAGCAGACGAATGGCGTCGGGCTACTGGTAAAATGTCAATTGCTGTCAAATCGTACGACAACTTTGAAAGGGAGAGATCACCTGTTCGCAACCAGAGGAATCCACAACATCCCACAAGGTCACAATCTCCTTTGGCTCAGAGGCCCTTTGCTCATTCTGAGGATGAGTACTGCGTTTTGTTGGACAATCTGTCCTATGCAGCTGAAAAAGAAGACATAAAAAAGCTTTTTCGTAATGCAAAACTTGAAGATGACCAGATCCTGCACTTAATTGGCCTTGATGGGAGAAGAACTAGATCCACATTTGTGCTGTTCAAGAGTCTGCGTGACTATTGTGATGCCTTAAGTCACGAAAAAAGACTGTTTCTCAACCGATGGGTTTATACACGCCCAATCTCAAGAGAGAAAATGATCGCCCTTCTGGAATCTCAGAGCATGGATGTCAGCCCTTCTGGAAACACTGAAAAGTTTCAGGAGACAACTCCATCTCACCCTGGTGATGCTTATGACTCTGAGAAAGTGTGTCTATTTGTGCGGAACCTGCCATTTGATGTACGGAAAGTTGAGATCATGGATTTCTTCTTTGGGTTTAATATCACAGAGGACAAAGTGTTTGTGCTACGTGACCATAAAGGAGCTGGGGTTGGAAAGGCTTTGGTTCTCTTCCGGTCTGAGGCAGAGGCTATGAGTGTACTGTCTCTCAACGGACGAAGGTTTCTGGGGTCAGAAGTCTTACTGAAATGCATTTCACGTTCTCAGATGCGGCAGTTGGGTGTTGAGCCTCCAATGGTGCAAGAGCCACTGCCGAGGGAGGAGCAATACTTGAGCAGGAGAAGCGAGGCATCCTATCACACTGGTGACACTGAGTACCCTGAGTTTGGGATTCCTCGTGACGGTAATATACCAATGACTAATGTAAAGGGTCGTATCCGTGGGGATTATGAGCCTTTTGCCGTAGCCCCTTATGCTCCACCAGACAGAGGTAATGGCGTTCGTGGCGGCTTTGGTGCCTCGGTGCAGAATCTTGATGGTCCCACCTGTGTAAGGCTAGTTAATTTACCATTCCAAATCAGAAGCGAAGAAATCTATGACTTTTGCTATGGATATCGAATCATCCCTGGATCGGTCTCACTGCAATATGACCAGAGGGGAAAACCTCAAGGCTCTGCGACTGCAGTATTTGAGTCCCGTCCGGAGGCGTTAACAGCAATTGAGGAACTGAGTGGAAGACCAATCGGCCCAAGAAAAATACAGCTTCTACTTGTGTGAAAGTGGCATGCCCTAGCAGTAAGGTTTGGACATATACACAATGTTAATTGAAGCAAATTTGATTTATGGGAAGTACTGCATTTTCTTTTTCTTTTGAATTCATGTGCCATGGCTAAATATGTAAATGTAAATTTAGCTATATATTTTTTAACTGCATTTGTTTTTATCATAAGGTAATATAGTCTGACTATATGTGGGTTTTCTCTCAGTGAAATATTAGATTTTTGGTTTTCTCACATCTTTCTCATTTTTGTTTGTACTTACAACACTGTGTGGAAAAAAATTTACAATTCATTGTACTATGTGGTGATTGTGAGTGTTTTTATAAAGACACATACCTGTAGGTTGTCAGTTTTTCTTCACAGATCTGTCACAGTGCAAACAAATTTTGCCTGCTGACATAAACGATGTGTATATAAGTGCAGGTTTACAACCAATTAAAACAGATCAGTTACTGATAACTGTCTCTGTTCATGATTAAATATTAAGTTGCTATTTACAGTATTTGCCTTCTATAAAAATCCATCAGTCCAAGAGGAAGATTTATGAAGGCCATAATCACTAGCGAGAGGAACAGTGACCACTGGGAGAATCTAAAATGTGGACCATCTCACCAGTAGAACAAGAGGATTTTTTTTATATCAGAGGGAGGGTATGAGCTCAGTATTTGAATTAGTTTGGTTAAAAACTTCACTGATGCCACAATGTACATGATTATTCCTCATCTTTGGGTGTATAGCAGATATAAGAAGTTATAAACCTACAACATTTAACACCTAATGGCACTGAAAGATTTAGGTGCTTGGAATTGTCCCCTATATTTGTCAACAGTACACTGTTTGCTGTTGAAATGCCGTCTCTGAAAGGTCTTAGTGCTTAGACTCTAAATGAAAACAGTTGCAGAATTCCAGCAATGGCAGAAATTCCATTGCTGGAATCTCAGCACGCAATCCATAAGCGATGTATGTTCCTGTAATTATATTGTGTGGCAAATTTTAAACCATTTCCTGTTGAAAAATGAAAATGGAATTTTTGTAGCATTTCTGACCATCACACTTTCACAATAACATGTTGGAAAAAAAATTAAACAGCCAAAAATGTTTTGGAAACGCACAATAACGAATATAAGCCTCGTGCTTATTCAGCAAAAAGTTTACCCACTAATGAATGGAGCTTTTATTTTGAAAGTCTTTCTAACCGGAGGTTATGGGTTGCTTTGACTGGCATGACACCGATTGAATGAGCAGTCCGAAAACCACGCAGAGGGAAATTACCAGGTGAATAATTAAACATAATGTCTTCTTTATAAAGTAAAACGACTACATCGAGAACTCGTAACTTTCCCGAATGAGTTATTAGGTCAGTCACCCGCTGTTTTTGCAGTTGAAACTTATGCATCATTAAGCTTAATTTGTCGTCATTTTACTTAACGTCAGCTTGTTTACACTTAACAGTCGTATGTGGTTGTGTTTATGTTAAAATCCGAAACCGTGTATGATCATTATAGCCACTTTGTCGACCGTTAGTAAAGCAGTTATTCGTAAACGTTAACCGCTAATGGTAGCCGCTTGCCGTTATCATGCAGTCCATGGCTTACACAGATGTCTGCCATGAAACACTTTGTGATGAGCAACAAGCATTTTCCACCTGTTTCCAAAGTTGCTTCTTTAATCCACAATTATGGTAAAAAGAGTGTTGGAAAAAGAAGTGTTAGAGATGTGTTGCAGATAATGAATTAAAAGTTAGCTTACCTGCTTAAGCTAATGGGGCCAATTTCAGTCGTTTCTGTTAAATATCTCACGTTAGCTGGCATGCTACACTCAGCCAGAGTCATCCCTGGTCAGTGACTGCTAAATGTTTTGTTTATTTTCTAGTAGTTATTTTTTGTAATTAGCTCCACTAGCGAAGCCCAAAGTTACTGTCAAATTATGTAGGATACTTATCATGATTTATGAGCTAGTTAATACTATTTTCAGTGACAGCTATACATTGGGAAAGCTCAGTTGAAGCCTGAGATTAGCATAGATAGTAACCCCCAAACATTTCTCAGGCACTTTTGAGTAAGTTGTAATAATTCCTGTCATGCCGGTGGCTTTGACCCACTAAAGGACCCCTAAAAGACTGCACTTTGGAAAACATTGAAAAGTAATCTATTGAAACCTCAGTGATGTCTGCCCGTAGTAAAACAACGCTATCCAGTATAAATGTGACGAGCAAGCCGTGTAGTGGGGTTAAAACATCTTTGAACCTTACTGACACCAGAATGGAGGTATCAAGGAGAAGAATTCTCCAGAAACATCTGGAGCCTGCGAGGCCCCTGCGTCGCTCCCTCCAGGTTGACATTGGTAAGCAATCCACACCAGCTGGTCTGACTAACGGGAATGGATCCAAGGTGTCACTTTATTCATGCGTGCTCATGTGTGGATTCTGTCTCTTCATTTAGAGCCCAAAATAAATGCTGCTACATGTGCACAAGCACTGATGGAGGAAGAAGAGGTAAGAAATCCCAAAGAAGACAATATTTGGGGGTTGCAAACTTAGTTATTTTAATTAGCTATTATTCTGTCAATTATCCCTACAATTAATTATCTTTAAAACATTGCGAAAAGGCCTTTCACATTTTTCTTTCTTTACACACTTCCCATTAAAATGACTTTAAGTAAGCCATTTGCCTGTGAAGCAATTGATTTAGACAAGATAAAGTTTTCTAAAACAATTTTTGCTTAATTGTGTGCTTGATAGTCAAAAATTGGCATAGAGCAGTTCTACAGGATTGTCAACCTCCACAAACAGAAAGAAGGTAAGACACATGCTGTACACTTACATGTTTACTTAAAGCAGGGAGATTATTTTTTTCAAATTGTAATTTACAGTTGTTTGACATAAGGCTGCTGTATTGTCAGTGTAAGTAAATATAAAGAATATTTAATGCCTGATTTGAACTCTTTCATAATGGTGATTTGATTATTTTTTTTATATGTATAGGTGTGTGTGTGTGTGTGTGGGTAGAGGGGGAGAGAGCCTATATATATATATATATATATATATATATATATATATATATATATATGCACACACACACACACACACACATATACATTGTTTTGTTTTTTTGTAGGCAGAATATCTTACTCAAGAGATTTTTTAATTGGTCTGGCAAGTTGTCCTGAGGCCAGGAGGAAGCCGGAATTCTTGCCAGAGCACCCCATAGTCTTAACCGAGGCAGTAAGTTGGGTGTTTGTATTAAATTTTTATTGTGGCATCCTCACAAAATGGACAAAATAATGACTGTGCAGCTTGGATTGAATTATGTTTCTATGCTATCATAACAGAGAGACGTTAGGCATCTAAGGCTTCATGAAATGAGATGCAACGAGGAAAAAGAAGAAACGTGAGTTTAATTAAAAAATGCGAACTCAGTTTATCAAACCTTTTCGATACTCTTGCTAATTATACAATCAGTGTAATTATTTTTAAATATATAACTCACTCTTTACTGGTTCTGACTATCATTGTTTAACTGTATTATTTACTATGGGTCTATGGGTGCTTTTTACTATGTTGAATTCTGTGTGGTAACTTAATAAAGTCACAAAGATGAAAGGTATAGAAGATTATTTGTTAATATTATTTTCTGTTTTTAGGATGGCAGAAAGGCTTCACTCACCATAAGACATTTGCACAGGTGTTCGCTACCCCAAACAGTGTTTCTGTTTTGTTTTCTCATCTTTTGTCGTGGTGAATTTAATTTGACTTTAAACTAACATTTAAAGATGCATATATTTTTTTTCATTTTTTAATGAGACTGATAACAGTTTGGGGTGATAAGACTAAACACCACTTTATTTGCTTAAGTTTGAGTATTGCATTTTTGCCTGGGTTTTTCTGCTGTGCACGCTTTGTATTTATATTTTGTAAACATTTTCTAAACATACGATATTAATGCCTACTTTTCAGCTGTGGTGGTCATCACTCCTCATATTAGATTCATAAAACAAACTCTACCTGAAGTGACAGTGGTCAAAAAGATGTTTGCCATCAGCTGTATTAGCTGGGGTTACAATATCATTGTGATGTATCGTGTCCTACTGAACATGTTGACTTCTTGTCTTATAAAGGACAGTTTGGATCAACAGTTTGTTGTGTTGACATTTTATTTCTGACATGTCATGTAAACTTAAGGCTGTAATAATTAATATTTTTATATTAACAATGTATCAAATGATTAAATGTAATGCCAATGGTGTCGCTCATGGTGATAAACACACAAAAAACATTACCCAACTCTGCAGAGCAGGAATTTCAAAATGGAAACACGAAAAGAAGGTACTCAATATCAAGAAACCAGACTTGTGTTGGTATTAAAGCACATTGTTGAGTTTTTACAGGCTCAGAGACAAAAATCAGCACCTAATTAATTATGGTAAATACTGACATCTTGCACACAATTCTGCATACTTGAATACACATATAGCCCCTAACAGTAAAATCTGGAAATGATGAATAATTTCTGGCTGATCACTTCTAAATTGGGCTGTTATGGTGCATTTGTGGAGTATCTAGTATATGGAGGTTATCACCACCCATTGCTTTAATAAGTAATGATACCACACTAAAAAAATACTCAATACTGTAACAGTATTAAGTAAAATCAGGATTTCTTTTCAGTATTGAAAGTACTCAATGCAGAAATGCATTCATGTAAAAGCAGGAGATTGCTGTCATAGTTGATTGAGGTGGAGCAAATGTTTAAATTAGATTGATCTGTTTTCAGAGCCACTAAAACATGTTAGTTTTGTCCAACAAATAGTACACAATACAAAATGATTAAAATATTTCTAAGGAAAAGCAGCAAATCCTCCCATTTGGGAAGCTTACGACTATGAAATGTTTTGGCATGGGAAATGACTAAAAAGTTAATCAGTTGCAATTGATTTTCTGTCAGTCAAGTAATTGATTAATCAACTAATTGTTTCAGCTGCTCTTGTATCAGTGTCATTTACACTGGGGACATGTCCCTACCACATTTTGAAATGGCTGATTTTGTCCCCATCACTTTTTGAAAGCATTTGTTAAAAATGTTCTGAAAAATATCTTGCACCAAGAAATGTTAAATAATAAATGAAAATGCTTTGAGAAAGGTTTATTTGCACAATAACAAAACACGCAATGCAATTTAACTAGAAGAAACAAATGTTCATTATCCAAAAAAGAAAGTTAAGCTAAAAATGTTGAAAGACATTTACACCGTAAAGTGGAGCAGAAAATGTCTCCAATTCAGGAAATTAAGTGTTTAATGCTGAAAATCTCATGGGGTAGGCCCCCCAGACCCTCGACTCAATTATTTAAGTATAAAATAGGCTATTTGTTCAAAATAGTGTTTAAAAATCTTCTTGTCTTGTTGTTGAGCATATTCTCATGTATCATCACGTCCCTGATCTGGGCCCATATGTCCCCACCACTTCTCAACACAAAGTGAAACCCTTGTATATTCTGTTGGGTAGTTTAATTTATAATTAAACATTTTTTTTGTTTTGTAACAAAGGTGTTAAATATTGTAGTGAGGTAAAAAGTACAATATTTCCCTCTGAAATGTGGGGAAGTATAAGTGGAATGAAATTAAAAGTACATGTAGGCTACTTCCAATTTGTACATAAGTACAGTAACCTACTTATGTAAATGTGCTTACTAGTAATTACACTGAACAACACTAAACGCAACACTTTTGTTTTTGCTTCCATTCATCATGAGCTGAAGTCAAAATCTATGTTTTCTCTATGTACACAAAGGCCTATTTCTCTCAAATATTGTTCACAAATCTGCCCAAATCTGGGTATGGGTATTGCACAGGTGTGCCTTAGGCTGGCCACAATAAAAGGCCACTCAAATATGTGCAGCCCCATCACACAGCAGAATGCCACAGATGTCGCAAGTTTTGAGGGAGTGTGCAATTGGCATGCTGACTGCAGGAATGTCCACCAGGGCTGTGAATTGAATGTTCATTTCTCTACCATAAGCCATCTCTAAAAGGCGTTTCAAGGATTTGGCAGTACATCCAACGGGCCTCACAACCGCAAACCACGTGTAACCACACCAGCCCAGGACCTCCACATCCAGCATATTCACCTCCAAGATTATCCGAGACTAGCCACAACTGCCGCAACAATCAGTTTGCATAACGAAAGAATTTATATATAAAATGTCAGAAACTGTCTCAGGGAAGCTCATCTGCATGCTTGTCATCCTCATCGGGGTCTCGGCCTGACTGCAACTTCGCACAGCAATTGAAGAGGAGTGGACCAACATTCCACAGGCCACAATCAACAACCTGATCAACACTATGTGAAAGAGATGTGTTGTGTGAGGCAAATGGTGGCCACACCAGATACTGACTGGTTTCCGGACCCCCTCAATAAAAACTGCACATTTTCGAGTGGCCTTTTATTGTGGCCAGCCTAAGGTGTACCTGTGTAATACCCATGCTGTCTGATCAGCATCTTGATGAGCCACACCTGTGAGGTGTATGGATTATCTCGGCAAAGGAAAAGTGCCCACTAACACAGATTTTGACACATCTGTGAACAATGTTTGAGAGAAATGGGCCTTTTGTGTACATAGAGAATGTCTTCGATCTTTGAGTTCAGCTCATGATGAATGGGGGCAAAAACAAAAGTGTTTATAATTTTGTTCAGTGTACATTCCACCAAAGTCATCACACTATAGGCTAATAAAAATATTATTACGAAGCTGCCAGTAATTATTTAGCAACACAGGGATTTTCACAACATGCTGTTATTTCCGCTGTGGAAATCAAATCTGCTGTTCGGCCTGCTGTTTAGTCAGCTTTGTACGTGACAGAGGCAGAGTAAACAGCCTACATCCTATTGAGTAAAGGACTCTGTGCTCGGTTGGTTATGAGGCTTGTGACGTGTTCGACGCTACGTCATTGTGGGCTGTAGCTTTACGTTACGGTGTGGACGTGAGACGTTAAGAAAGCGAAATTAATAAGTCAGAAAGAGCAGCCGACCAGCAACATTCTTACGGTAAATATCTATGCGGTGTTTGTATTGTAGCTTTTTGGATTTTATAGTCCTGTTGTCTTATCTTGAAGGTAAAGATGGCGATAATTGTCACTTTTTCTTTTTACCCGCTGTGAGTGACAAAATGCTCTTTGCTACGAGGGGTGTTCTTAATTTGAAAAAAGAACGTGTGTCTTAATTGTTTGACATTGTGTGTAATTGAGTTTTAGATTAGGCCATTTTAAGCCATAGGTTTAAGCATACACCCCACTGTGGTGTTAGAGGTTGGTTTTGTTCTCGGTCACTGAAATAAATTTTTTTTCGAACACAGCTCTTTTCAGGAAGATGGATTCAAAGGACGATATGCGCACTGAGCCCTGCAGCAGGTGAGCAGATCCAGTCCAGTTAAAGTCATAACGTTTTTGTTTTGAAACTTACGCTACGCGTATGTAACGTTATAGTTCAACACAACTGATAGGCCTACGTGTAAGTTTACCGTCGGCAATGGATTAGGTTAATTTCGAAATGTGGAAACTTCTGGGTGTGTCAGGATAGCAGGACGTTGCCCTTTTTCTGACCGTCCTTAAAGCTATTATTGTTTTCTTACAGTAACCAATTTATTTTTTACATAAGTGATTACACATTCAGGATAGCCAACTGCCCTGTCCGGTTAGCTACCAAGCATAGGGTCATTACAAATTCAATAACAAAAAGGGTCATTTCACCTAAATCACAACCCCACATTTTCTCACATGATAATGTAAAAATAATAAAATAAATCCTTGTTTTAATGTTCCTTAGTTTTCGTTTTTGAGGTAGGCCTACTGTGGTGGCTGCAGTTGTTCCTATTATTTTGCCCACCCAATTAATGTCAGAGAGGGTAGTGCAATAACAGAAAGACTCTGTATAATGCAATAGTTAAACAGCACCACAAACTATATCCTCATGATGTACTTTTGATGAGGTAGGATGACTGTTGTTGTTAGCTTTAGCTAGGTGTGCCTAATAAACTGGCAACCGGAAGTATGAATGTATATAATATAGTATGCAGATTGTTTTTATTCTTTTGTGGCAAGATTTTGTGATATCCTCCTCCTGAATTAAGTGTGGCCACCGTGACACAATGCAGGGTAATACAATTGGTGCAGCTCAAACCATTGGAAAATTACATCTCAAATTGAATGTTTCATTACTGTAAGTATCACAATTGAAATTCACATTACCTAACAGAACTTTAAAGAGACAAATATCCAAATGCCTTACCTGACTAAACAAAGTATTTGTGTGGCTAGATAACACAGGGTTAAATGTGTTGGTATTTTTTTAGTTGAACTTAGATTTTAGAAGTTAGATTTAGTTTAGCCTGGTTTCAGATGTCTGAATCACAGCACAAATCTCAAGGGAAACAAAATGGAAATTGATGGAAGATCAGGCTACAAATGACCCTTTAAAATCTCTTACCCCACCTCCCAGCCCTGTTTTTGTGCACAACCCACACCTGGATGCACTGAAAGATGACATCCTCTACCACTTCAGTTTAGGAACCGGAACTCACAACCTCCCAGCTATGTTTGGTGATGTCAAAGTAATGATTTTTCATTTCATTTGTTGAGAGAAAAAAATCACCTCCATGATCATCTTTATTCAGCAGTTATTTATATTTGTGTGTTTTCTTTCAGTTTGTGTGTGTTGGGGGCAGTCCCTGGAGAATGAAATCATTCATTGAGTACATTGCTGCTGAGCTCAGTATGGAAGACCCCAAATCAGAGTACCCAAATATATGTGCTGGAACGGACCGCTATGCAATGTACAAAGTTGGCCCTGTGCTCTCTGTCAGTGTATGTAAAAACAAATTCTATCACAATATTTTGTAAGCAAATGCTATACTACGAATAGGAGGAATTCTGACAATATGTGTAGTTAGTGTCCTTCAATTAAAAAACTACATAGATGTGAAAATAGTGTGTGAAATGTCTGTGCTTAATTTTGCAGCATGGTATGGGCATCCCATCTATTGCCATAATGTTGCATGAGCTAATAAAGCTCCTCCATCACGCACATTGCACCGATGTTACAATTATACGCATTGGGACATCAGGTGGAATAGGTAAGCTTATTATTGTGCCTGATAATTCATTTGATTATGTATCTATTGCGTTGTCAAATGATAAATACTGCTAACACTACAGGGCTGCTAGTTTCCCTGTGATTTTGTAAACTTGGACTGGAAAAATGAAGATGAAATGACTGCCCTTGTGGTCAAATGTCCTTGCCCTGATCTGGGTTACAAACACCTTTTCTTGGTTTTACCAGCAACGGGGTGGTGATGGATGAGATGCATGCCTTTGGTGTGAGAGACCTGGGTTCAATTCCTCACTGTGACCCATCCACCGTTGTGTCCCTGAGCAAGACACTTAACCCCTCGTTGCTCCAGAGGCGTGCAACCTCTGACATATAAAGCAATTATAAGTCGCTTTGGATAAAAGTGTCAGCTAAATGAATAAATGTAAATGTACCACATGAGGGAGCTCAAGGTACTTTAAGATTTAGGGCAGTGTCAGCCAATATGGATTTTTGTACATTCCTGTAGTTGATATTAGCCATTTATGGTATTTGTCCAGTTTGCCAGATAAGAGAAAACATCTTTTTGTTTTTGCTTTTTTTAAGTGAGTTATTGAAATTAATTCCGATATATATCAACCGCTTACATTATGCTGAATATGGCACAAACCATTGAGTGTATCACACTTGCCTTTTCTGGTTCTCAGGGCTTGAGCCTGGGACTGTTGTTGTCACCAAGCAGTCTGTGGATGCCACCTTCCTTCCCAAGTTTGAGCAGGTGATACTGGGGAAGACGGTGGTGCGCAATACTGATCTGGACCAAAGCCTGGCTGAGGAGCTTCTGCAATGCAGCAAGGAACTGAACCAGTTTGAGACCGTGATTGGCAACACAATGTGTACACTGGATTTCTATGAAGGTATGCGTGTGACATGGATGTATATTTTCTCATATTTTACAGTGGTACAGTTGTAATGTGCATATTTTGCTATCTTTTTGTCTGTCTTCTCTATCTGATTGATAACCCAGGGCAAGCCCGTTTGGATGGTGCTTTCTGCTCCTACACTGAGAAGGATAAACAGGACTTCCTCAATAAAGCCAGTGATGCAGGAGTCTGCAATATTGAAATGGAGTCATCTGTTTTTGCTGCTATGTGCAAGCTGAGTGGTCTGCGAGGTAAGAAAATACAATATCAGCATGATATTATAGCTGACCTCAAAGCACAGATGGTGGCTTTCTAACATTCATTTCTTCCTGTGTAAAGCGGCTGTGGTTTGTGTGACTTTACTGAATCGGCTGAAGGGGGATCAGCTGAGCAGCTCTCATGAAGTTCTTCACAGTTACCAACAACGTCCTCAGATGCTGGTTGGCCACTACATTAAGAAGCAACTGAAAACCAAAGCAGCACGTCGCTAAGTGCAACCAGTTATTACACTTGTCTGCAAGCATACTTCAAATTCTGGGTATCTCTTAAACAATGAAAATGTGCACAATGCAATAAGTCAAGCTTTAAACATTTTTTATTCATTCTTTCTTGCTCATGATTAGCCATACCTTTTTAATATGTCCAGAAGATTCACTGAAATTTTAAGTGATGCACTGCCTTCTATTTATCCTGTGACACTTATTTAGTTGATTGATTTCACTGTCATTATAAACCGGCATGCACTATTTCACTTTTGTTTCCTCTTGTATTTAACTTAAATACAATTTAACTGAGTATTAAATGTTATGTAGCCGTCTGTATGTCTTATTTAAGGCTGCCACTGTTTCATTTAACATGTAAAGATCCGTATCTATAAAACTTGAACAAATTCATGACTTTAGGTAAGTCTATACTTACAAGGGTGCTGTAACAAAATCATCTTAACTGCCACTGAAATATCTATTGTTTCATGAAAACAAAAAATGTCCTTACGATGGTATTGGTTGTTGCAAAACTCTACAAATATGTATCATCTGGAGTATTTTTTATGCAGAATGTATTTTTTAAAACCCAGTGTTTTTTAGGATTAGACTTATGTAATGTTAATAAAAGTTTCATTTTGAACCTAAAACCAACAAAATATCACTCATTTTGAAAGGAAAACATTTCTACTGGATGTTTTATCATAATCTCAAATTGTTCCCAGATTTGAAAATATCCAAATCATGTGTCTTTAGTAACCCTTTGAAATAATCAATCATTGTTTTTTCAAATTTATATGAATGAGTAGGTGAAAAAGTGTATTTTATGGTCAGTCACAATTGTGACCGGTGGGATCATATGTTGTATCCTGAATCAAACAATTTCTCCTGTGCATTCATCAAAATTTCTGTGTATTCAAGACCAGTTATTAACACATTTAAAACTGACAATGGCAGTCCTCAGCATTGACACTAACATGTTCTATCACATTTTTGCGTGACTTATTTACATCATCAGAATCCCTTAAAACACTGACAAAGCAAGGACAAAAACACAATGTATTTCAGCTTTGTAACTTTAGTGCAACATGTATTGAAACATAAATATTTTAACTTTATTGTAACATTTGAACTTGCAGTTTAGAAAAAACAGTTTGCACAACATTTGTTCTACAGAGGCCTGAACCCTCTCCGCCAGGTTATCATAAAGTGTGGTTAGGAATACCGGTCCCAAAGTGGAGCAACCATAAGTCACTTCCTCTACATGGATCACATGAAGCTAGCCAGGAATGAGAGAAACAATGACTCACTGATCCACACTACCAGGATCTACAGTAAAAACATTTGGACTGGATAAGTCAGATGGTATCAGAAACAGAAAATGATCAGAACCGAGGGGGGTGAACTACCAGAAGGCAACATTGAAGATGTTTAGGAGAGCTACAAATACCTTGGGATCCCCCAGGCAAAGGGAAACCATGAGGAGGCAGCAAGGAAGTCAGCCACAGTGAAATCCCTACACAGAGTAAGGCAGGTCGTGAAAAGTCAGCTGAGTGGGAAGAACAAGATCCGAGCCATCAACACATGCTCTGCGAGTCATCCGATACCTAGCAGTGAGTGGCAAGATGTACTGTCCAGAATGAAACAACAAAGATCCAGGAGTACATCAGGATCAGGCCTCCAAAGATGAAGGGCTAAGTGAATACCTCAGGCAGCAGAAACCCAAGGATGAGGACAGGAGGAGGATGAACCTTCATGGAGGGACAAGCCCCTGCACATCTTGTACCACTGACAGATAGAAGAAGACATCAAGAAAGGCTGGACTAAAGAACAGCACATAAGCACTAATCATGGCTGCACAAGAGCAGGCACACATCAATAGAGGCCGGGGTCTACCACAACAGGTGGGACCCCAGGTGCAGACTGTGCAAAGTTGCCCCAGAGACAGTACAGTACAGAGTTGCAGATGCAGGCAGTAACAGTTAACATGGAATGTCATTACCAGGTAGCTGGCATAGCATACAGGAACATCATCTATGGCCTGTGAGTGTCAAGGTGAGGAGAATGACCAAGCAAATATCCTGTGGAACTTCCACTCCTGTGGAAGATCCAGATTGACAAACTGATGATGGCTAACCAACCAGACATCATGTTTATTGACAAACAGCAGGAGAAGACAGTAGTGATAGATGTATCAATCCCAAGGAACAGCAACATCAAGAAGGAGGTACAACATCTGAAATCTCTGACCAGAAGTGTGCAGTCCAAGGAACATATAAGATACCGTGCAGAACCCTTCAACTCCCAGACTTCAGGTAAAGATGACACGTACCACCCAACGAGGGGTGAGCTGGGTTTTTTTATTTATATATCATGGTGAATGCCTTGCCTGGGAGGTCATCTAGATCCAACATACCCAGAACTCGACTTAGAGTAAAACTAAAATAAAAAAACTAAGCAGAAATTTAAGTACAAAAAGAACTGTGAATGTGTACCTTGATGCACTGTGTTATCCCGCCGGTCACTTTTGTTGTTTACTCATTCTATGACCAAACTGAAGAAAGTTGAGTAAATCCAAATGCATATGCTGTATTAGTACTAGACACCTTAAAGATAATGTGTACCAGAACTCTCTATTCTATCTTTATGTTTACATTCTTTACTAACCTTTTGTTTGGGAGGCCAGTCATTCTTTTTTCTTGGTGCACCCAGACCTCTGGTCATGTGACAATGTACACTAAACATGTGACACTGCACATATTTCATAGAGACCCTTTACCATTTCAGTACTTGCTTGAAATGCATTGATACATCATTCAGTAACATTTTTAGAGTCTTATAAATGAAAAAGTTTTTTACAGTTAGGCCTATTGTGACCGATGGGATTAAATGGGTTATTAATAAAGCCTTTTGCAGTCTGAAGTTGTTTGTTAATATGTTCTGACTCATTAACACAAGACGTATTACACTTATTTCTCCCTGCAAAAAGCAGTGTGACCTGTTTGGATGTGCAGCAATGAAGAAGCCCAATATGCTCAAAACCAACATTGTCACCACTGCCGACTACTAAAATAAGAAGTTTACACAGCAGATTGGCTATTCTGTAGTCTGTATTCTTATTAGCCTATACCTTGCAAGGCGACTATGATATTTTCTGTTGTGTTCAGTATTTTCAGTGGTGTGTAGGCTATTTAAACGAGCAATGGCTGCATTGCCAGATTGGATTGCTGTCTGCCTATTTTTCCATAAATTTGGATCCAAAGAAACACACGGCGCAAGTATCCGGTCCGGAGAACACATTCTTCAAATTTCTTGTGTGTCTGAGCTTTAATCGCCAGGTTTAAGTTGGCTATATGGTCACATTGGATACTGAAAACCGCTCTGCGCGACAAAGGGGAGGGTCTGCTTGCGCGCTCACGTGCGCGCCCACCTCCCGTCTGCTATCCGATCCTACGCGGTCTATTCGCTGACTCAGTGCCTTAAGCAGCATCACCGTTCACCTGAACACAGCTACAGCATCCTCTGCGGAGAAATACATCAGCAATGGCTAAAACAGCAACCGGTAAGCTTGTCAGACTGATCATGTTATAGCCTAATAGATGCATGGAAGGAAGGAATTTGTGACAGATTCTGTATTGAGCCCATGTCGGCCCGGTACTGTCTACCGGCTGTTGGTCGTGCTTCTGTAATGGCTCCACTCAGATATGTTATCCTTTGACCGATTAAAGCCAAGAGAAATTAGATCCCTCACCTTCATATTTCTCTATCGACTACTGGCCTATTGTCTCAGGACAAGAGTCTGGTAATGACAGCAAAAATATGGGCGTACAAGCCAAGCATCCTCCTTCATTAAGTTACTGAAATGTCTCTTTCATTTCCCTCATTTATGTCAAATTGCTCTGAGTCCTCACTTGTTTTAATCGTATATTGTGTAACAATGGATAATTCTAAAATGTGAATAGGCCTCTAGACAGCTTTATTTACAACGCCGCAGCTGCGGTTCGTGCTACAGCGGCCCCAACATGCAGCATAATGCAGACGGACCCCACCCAAGATGCTGGGCTGCCGACCATTTAGCCGACAGCAAAGCTGAGAGGTCTTCATCAGTCAGACTTTCATAGCCTATTGCTTAGCTTTAATTAAACATGCACAGCTGTAACTGAAAGCGTTTCTGTTCCCTAAACGTCCCCTAAACATGATTGTTTAATCGGTTCGTTTATTTGGCATTGCTCCTTTTATTCATGTCTCCTTTCCTTATATATTCCTTGCCAAGGATGCATCACCAGCTGTGACAGATGTGTTGCAATTTATCTCGCAAAAATACCCGATTGGCGTAAGAACAAATGAATGGCTTTAATTCCATTCTTTATATCTGGGCGTTTGCACACCGAATCTTATATTGACACATAAGAAGTAGCCTAGATTGTAGCCTGCATTAGTCATCTTTTCTGATGGACAGTTATTGTTGTAGGTCAGGCATTTAGCATATTTGTTTTCATGGGTTTGCATCTAAAACATGAATGGTGCCTTAATATGTGCAACCCATTTGGTCCCTTTACAATACAGTTCAGCTGCAGACTCGCTTTCATGATGGTGTGGTGGAAGAGATGTAGCGGAGGAGACAGGTGCATGGCAGTGTGGGAGGCAGGCCAGCGCTGCAGCAAGGGGCCGCTTCACACGCTGGCCTTTGCAGCAGAAGGCTTAGCGGTGGCAATCTGTAGTCCTCTCTGAGCCGCCAGGTGGGCCCTACAAGGGAATAAAGCATGGAAAAACTGACAGAATTTGCAGATGAGAGTAATAATTGTCAATACGGAACTGGTTAATCTTACCCCAGATCTATTATTAAAGTCAAAATTAATCAACTGTATTTGACAGATATGACAGCAGCGCTCAACAATAAGGCAGGGAAGAGGCAGATACATTTAAGAGTTTCTTATTATTGTGATCATGACACAGGACAAACCGCTGAGAGTTCAACAGGAAATGGAATAACTTGACATACGGCCTGTCTGCCATATTGCGAGGGGGTTATTAGACAAGGCTCTCTGATTTCTTGATTGAAATGAGTCACAAGTGTCTTATTATAACTACCAATCAAACAATGTTAGTTTGTTCGCCCTTACATAATACATGCATCCAATGAATTATTAACCAACAGGGCACTTTTCAGACTTTCTATAGATCATTAATGCCCTAGTCATCTGATGCTAATGTTTTATTGAGCAATTTCTTTCATAACTCTTCATTTGGAAACATTGCAAGTATATTTATGAATTGGTGACATTGTTTGGACAGTGTTATGTGGTAATGAAGAAACCTAATCTGTGTGTTCATTTGCCTGTTTTACTTTTTTCATGAGTAACAGTAGGAGACTCACCATGATGCTATGGTATGTTTTTGTTCCCACAGCATATAAAGAGAAGATGAAGGAGTTGTCTGTCCTCTCCCTCATCTGCTCCTGCTTCTACCCAGAGGCACGCAACAAGCTTGTGCGTGAGTTTGAAGGTATGGATCAGCTAAAACATTGATTTTCTTTCGGTTAAAACAAATTGCCCCCTATGGATGTTTTATCTACCCTGTTAATATAGAAGTTAGTAATAATGACTTATTATTGGACTGATATGGTTATTGGACATTGATTTGGCTGGTGTTCTCATAATAATATCATAATGATTTACAGACATGGAGGTGAAACCTATAAACAAGCGGGCTTCTGGCCAGGCGTTTGAGGTGATTCTCAAGCCTGTGTCGCCGGTGTCAGATGTGGCCCACAACCTCCCCTTAACCCCCAAGAGGGATATCTCCTTGGAGGACATTGAGAAGAAACTTGAGGCTGCTGAAGAACGGAGGAAGGTGATTATTTTACCTGTTTGTGAAAAAAAAGAAGGAAAAAAAAGACACACTTTTTTTTAGATTTTAAACCATTCAAATTGTGATTTTAGTATCAGGAGGCCCAGGTGCTGAGGGCTTTGGCAGAAAAGCGAGAGCATGAGAGGGACGTGTTGCTAAAGGCCATGGAAGAGAACAGCAACTTCAGCAAGATGGCAGAGGAAAAGCTCCAGCTGAAGATGGAGCAGATCAAGGAGAACCGTGAGGCCCATCTGGCAGCCATGATTGAGCGTCTACAGGAGAAGGTGAAGAATTCAGGAATCGCAGTTGAGAAAAAGTCCATGTGTCCACTTTTAAGACTGTGTAATTATTTTTACTCTGTTGTTCTGGCGTTTTCAGGAGAGACATGCAGCCATGGTGCGCAAGAACAAAGAACTGAGGGAAGAGCTGACAGCATGAGCCTCACACAAGTCCTGACTTCCATGGTCCATCAACATCCCTCCATCCTCCTCCTGCCATCACCCTCCTTAGAACAGACACCCAACCCTGGAGGCCGAGAGGTTTGAGGACCTTGCCACCACATCACAAAACACCACACCACCAGTACTCACTACTATCAGTATTATCAGTGGATACAAACATCAGTAACACTCATCTTGAGAGTTGAATAGGTTTGTTGGTTTTAGAGAAAAAGTGAGAATATGTTATATGTTTTTATTTTGTAAATACATTCTCTTAAAATCTATCTATCTATCTATCTATCTATCTATCTATCTATCTATCTATCTATCTATCTATCTATCTATGGTAGGTGAAGTACATGCAAGGATTGTACTGTACTGCACTGTACAATTTCAAACATTTTGTTTGTAATTGGTTAATGTTTCAGTTTTTGAAATTTTAATTTTAAATAATTTTCTTGTGAAAGCCCTCGGTGTTGACATTTGCAGTGTTTCCTGATGATGTCATGATGATGATGTTTCTGTGTCTTTGTGAAGAACGACGGTTGGTGTACCTAGACTCCTCAGCATATCAGCGTATCCCATCTGTATCTTCCTCACGCACACACCTACTCATTCTGGAACACGCACGCTTGGAACTTAACAATACGCCAAACCCACTGATTCATAAAGTGTCACTTCCTCTGAAATGAGCTTGATAATGAACTTGATAGGTGCTTTATTGTTATTAAGAATGTCTTTGCCCAATGGGAGCAGCTGTTTATACACTTGCAGATTCCCGCTTACCCTGACTACTTTCTTTGTCAATGAATTCTCATCTTTAGCCAAATCAATAGCTCTGTTACGTACACAGTATTTGGGGATTGGTCTCTTGAATGTTATGACACCATACTGGTACCATGCATATTGTCTTGGACAGTGGAATGTGCTGTTGCTCCCACCTTGATAGTGATAGTGCGAACATAACGTATGTCTGTGTGGGTGTGTGTGAATGCAAATTTACCACAAGGCATCACTAGCCTCTGCTCTCCTTAGGGGATTAGATGGAGAATGGATGCAGGATGCTTTACATTCAGCACACTGAACTAGTCTCTTTTTATTATACAATACCACTGATATCTGCTTGCATACTCTGCTGCTTGTGTTTCTCCCTTCATATATTTCTCTGTGAAAGCTTCGCTGAATAAAGGTTTGGGGTTCTGTGAACATGGCATGCACCATCTAATACTTTTCTGTGCTAAAAGAGGAGGGAAAATGTAAACTGCCAAATAAAAGAACCAGTTATCTACACATCCTGAGAATCACAGTCTTCTCCCAGCTGATTTTTCATTCTTCAATTCATTCATTTGGGATACTGTAGCCATTTTGGCACAATTCTTCTTAAGGGTTATACTAGCATATTTTTAACATCTAAAATTAATCCATGATCATCCATCAGGCGAGAATGAGACAAAGTTCCTCCACTAGGTGTCAGTGTCAGATTTTTTTAAGCCAAAGAAGCCAAGCTGGAGCTCATACCAATCCAAAAGTAGGGCAAAAGTTCACAATATGCAGAGTGTAAATATAGATGAAATATAATAAAAACAATAGAATCTAGATCATTTTTGTATCATCTTTTCAAATCAGAAGGATTTGGAATTTAAATAAATAAATAAAATAATTTAGAGGGAGTAAGGTTTTTGTCATTAATCAGCAAATGTGGACAATTTTGTATATTGTGCTTTAAGCTGAATGATATTTTGGCTCTCAAAGGAAGAAAATATACATAATATATTATTTATAAGCCCTCAGGAAACAAATCACAGACAGAAACTGTCCCTCCTGGAAATGCTGCACTGATGGATAAAAAACTGAGTCATTAAAACAATTAAAAATAAAAACCCTGTGTCACTTAGATTGGACCAGAAACAACACTGTGGAGCTGATCAGTGATTTATTGTCCAGCAATCTGTGTGTTGTTGTTACTTTTCAACCGCTTTCCTCCAATGTCCCCATCCTGTTCACACTATTGTCTCCATTTCAGACCAACTCAAGCTGGTGAGGTCAGGGCAACATTGTAAAGGATTTCCTCTGGCTCTTAATGATTTCCTGGGTATTCATAAGGGCAACAATGGTCTCAGATTTGGTTACTTACCTGGCACACAGTAAAGGAATTGCCTTTCAGTCAATAAGCGGGACCTTATTAGCTCATGATTAACTGCCAAGGGATTGCAACAAAAATGCACCTGCAGATTATATGTCATTTATGTCTGCTTGTATACAGGATTATGTAGCATGACTGTAGAAAGAAATAGCTACCCGTTATAGATTATGAAAACAAAACATTCTGGAGGGTTAAAGGAGCAAATGCAACAGAAATAAACACTTTGGTTTAAATCCATGTTTTATACTTTTAACTCAATTTATTGGTACAAAAATATTACAAATCGAATGCAATGTTCCAATTCTCAAGTGGTTAGTTTTACAGCAGTGGCACATATAATATGCATATTCATTTCCACGACTTCTGATACCACTGAAGAAGAAGGCCCAATTAAGTCATTCTACATTATGTTAAATACAGACATCCATGCTCGGAAAATGTAGAAGTTTCAGTATGTGGTCTACAAAATATTATCTCTACATCTGTGCTTACAGAAAATCTACTCATGGACATATCATCATATCAGTCTTCAACCTGGAGACAGTGCACAACTAAATTAGTTATCAGTTCCAATGAATAACATAAAATCATTTAGAATTCCTTTCTTTATGGGAGTAATGACATACTGAGAGGAAACAACACCCTTCAGCAACCTGTCAAACTTATTCTTTATACTGAACAAAATAAATCAGCTTGCTTTGTTCTCCTGTGTTTTATTGCTATAAAAACAGATGAGGCAGGTTATCTTGCCTAGTCTGTGAGGGTGGGCACAGCTCAGCTGTTGCCTTCAGTCCTGCTGTTAGCTTCAGAAGGCCCCAATCTCTGTGCCCCAAGGCCTGTAAGGCTTTGACAGGGTGGAGGAGGGGCTCACTGTGCTGAGAGCCGTCGGGGAGACCAGAGGGAAAGCACCGAAGGAGAGGGGGAAGGCTGACAGCGAGGAGAGGGATGAAAGGAGCGGTGGTGAAAGCTTGGATGTTGGCAGAGACAGACCGAGGGGCAGCGAGCCACTGGGAGGCACCCTGAGGGACTCTGTGGGGGGCATGACACCGAGTCTGGATGTCCCAGATGCCTCAGCGGAGGAGGAAGAAGATGTAGGGGAAGACGAGGAGGAAGAGGGTGGGCTACTGTTGCTTCTGGATGCAGGTGTCCTGCCCTGGGGGTGTTGTAGGAGGAGGGGGTGGGGAAGATGGGCAGGGCCAGTCCTGTAAGCAGAGCCCCAGGCTAAGTGTTCCAGTCCAGTGTGCACCTCTCTCTGAGAGGCGTAGTTGCTGAGGTGGGACACCAAACGTATACGGAGGGGGTCTGCACTCTCCCGACCCTCTATGATGCTCAGGTAGCGAGCCGTCTCTGCCAGGCACTCCCTGAAGCCCAAGCTGCGGTAATCCTTAGCAAGAGCATGAGCCTCAAAATAGCCTGTCAAGAAAGGAAGCGGAGTCAGAAGGTTAGAAACATATTTTTGAATCCCTGATTTTGAATTAATCCATTTATTATCCAAAGGCAAAGAAAGGGTCTTTTACCTTTGCCACCAGAGGCATGAAGCATCTTCAAATGGTCCACAGTCATTTGCAAAATTTCTGCTTTTTCTAATTTAGCTGATCCCTGTAAAGAAACAGGAAAGAATGGTGTCACTTTTAATAATAGGCCTATTCATATTTCCTATAAAGTGGAAAAAACATGTATGGGCAAATGTGTGCCTGTACATAAGGAAATGATGGAATGTGTCCAATTTACCTGTTTCTCAAAAGCACTTGGCACCAGTCTTCTCAACTCTGACAAGCTATTATTGATTCGGTCACGTCTGCGTTTCTCAATTATCTGTAAATGGGTAAAAGAAACAATGTAATTTAGGTCACAGGTGGAAGGAAAACAGTGGGATCTATTAAACAGCAGTGCGCAACCTGGCGCCAGACATGAGTTTACTTACCCCTCTTCGCCTTTTTCTGGCTTGAACTTGTGTGGTTGTGGAGGGTGACATCGAGCCGTGGGAATCAAGTTGACTTAAAGGTAAAACCGCAAAAAAACAAAAAACAAAAAAACGACTATACGATTATACAAAACATGAGATCATCAAGACATCAATAGCCTACACATGAAACAAAGTTAAAATATGGCGGCGAATTTAAAACAAACAGTTAACATACCAATTTTCGTCTCCACTATCCTTCTCCACCTCAACATTGTCGTCCAGGTCGCTATCCGACGAACTGTAATTGTGGCTTCGCTTCATTTTTCTTCCAAGCCTACAGTTATCAGAAGTAGGCTACTCCTGGCAGAGAAAGCTCTAGTTGGGTACTGACAGCAGAGAGTTGCTTCTGCTTCTGCTGTGATCATTTTCACACCGCGGACAGGGGGGCGGGGTCGACGGAATTATATGGGCGGTGCTTGACAAGAATTGAGCCTGTTAAAATCGAGCTGGCATTTTGAGTGACATTATGCTTTACTGCTTTACAAAAATAAATAAATGAACAAGCCCAAGGTCTCACAGGAAAGCTTTAAATAGAGGTTAAATCATAATCATTGCAACCTACTTCTGCTATCTATCTATCTAAAATTATATTTTAAAAGCATGATTTTTTTTTATACATTTATGTCTTGTAGAGCATATTGAGTCTGAGGTCCTTAATCTTGTGCTTGACAGGTCAGGCTAACTGCTGGACTCCTGGCCGTAGGTCCCGGGTTTGCCTGCTGAGACCCCAGTTCGTGAGCAACAGGCCCCATTATAGCGGGAGCCCTCTTCTTCGTTCGTGTTGTGAAGGACACACGGCCTATTAGCAGAGTGTGTTGTACATTGTCTGCTGTCAGCTGTGTGGTTCCACAACAGCACTGATCAGCCGGGAGGCCCAACATTGGTCAGTCAGCGTTGCCAGGCTCTCCTAGGAAACTTCCCCCCTACTCCCCAGTCACTGCAAACAGGTTAACTGCCTGCCGCACAGAGACCTTCCCAGGGAATCATTAAACCGCTGTGGAGGAAAACAGGGAACGCCACTATGCTGTATGGCAGAGAATCGTAAATGGCTTGAAGCTCAAGCTACATCCAACCATAGTTTAAAGTTTTGCTTATGAGTGACATTAAAAAACATACAAAGGTACTTAGGCATAAGTGGCAAAACACAAGTGCCTCACTCTGGATGGGGAGTTGGGGTGGTCTGCAGAAGGTGTGAAAATTTGACTCCACTGATACGAATGGTTCAAAGGGCAAACTATATAAAACAGGGGAGCTTTTAATGTTAATCTTCCACTGTGTAACTGATCCCTTCTGGCTGTTTTGTTTTAAGGAGAGACATGAGATACAGATATTTCTGCCTAAGAACACAAAGCAAATGTTAATGTTGTGATGCATACTAATAAAAACATCATACAGTGGCTAAAAGTAACAGTACATTCACTCAAGAACTGTCTTGACTCAACGTCCTTTGCTCCTCTAGAGAGCATAGGCAACTGACAAATGTTCTCCACCTCACTTAGCTGTTGCTGGTTCTTTCAGGATCTCTCCAGTTGAGTCCACTCCCAGACATTTCTGCCTGGACACCTCTTCTCCAGCTGTTCCTGGGCCGACCTCTTTTCCTTGTTCCTTGGGGGGTTTCATTTCAGGGCTTATCAGGTGATGTTTGTGGCCGGTTTTAAAAGGGTGTGCCCAGTCCCACTCCACTTTCTCCTTCGAATTTTTAAGTCAATGGGATCCAAGTCCACTTTGCTTACTTTGTTTCCAACATTGAATTATGTGGGATTTCACTCTCTTGTTGGTTTTGTTGGATGTGGAGATGAGGCGAGAGCCGGTGATACAGCACTTAAACGACCTCTAGCCTACATCACTACAATTGTGAGACTTTTGTACTTGAGTATTTCCATTTTATGCTTCTTTACACTTATTTCAGAGGCAAAAACTGTATTGTGTTATTTTTACTACACTACATATATGTAACGATGTAATGATAAAGTTACTCGTTACATTGCAGATTAAGATTTAACATACAAAACATATACTTTTACTATTTGAATTCAGGAAGTTCACTTGTAATGTTTTTATTGTCCATATAAGTAGACATATGAAATACATGAAATACCATATATTAATAACACTATTAATATAAAAGCAGCAGTCAAATGTCAGTCTTTTCTCTGATGGTCTGGAAACGACAACACTTGAGGTTGGTATAATTCCTGCATGGAGTATGACATGTCTGGTAAGGCCATCAGTGGGAGTGTGTGACCGCCCCCCCACCCCGCCCACTGTCTTTAATTCCAGTACCTTGTAGAGCAGCAGCTGTTTCTCTGCTCTGTCCATCAGGTCAGTTGTTAACTTGGTGCGTTGGGAGCTAGACAAGTGCGTATGAGAGCTTGATTGCAAGGAGCAACTGCAGACCAACACGCTGTTTCCAGAATGTCAGAGGGGTTTGGTGGTGACAGATACAATATGCAAGGTTCAGTCATTCTGTTGATGCATTGAGTGTGGATGAGCCTCCACACCATCCCTGACACACACAGATATACACATACATAGACCCCCACCTCCCCTCAACTACCTGTCAGCACACACCTTTTAAAAATCATGCCTGTACCTTCACCCATTTCATGCATTTCTACACTCCCATACTCCCCCTTGGTTGGTTTATAGCCTTCAAAGGGTATTTCTGGTATTTTTAAACCTGGGCTCTATTTTTTTTTTTTCATATTTAGGGGTCTAAATGACTAATAGGTACAAAAAGTTTTGAAATTGTTCCAGTAGCTCACCTCCGCCGGCAGCTGTGAATCAGGCTATAATGGCTGCGATGTAATCCTTAAAGCCAATTGCGCATGTCAAAAGTATGTCACCAAAGGTGCTTGTTTTTGCCACTGACAAAGAAGCGTAAGAAGAGTAATATCCTTTTTGTTTAACCAGGATCAGAAGTATCTCTCAAGGAGAAGTCTCGCTCTGAATTCTCGCGAGATGGTGAGTTGCTGTAGGAAGACAACGGTGGAAATGTGAGTCCATAAGTCAGTTTACTCTTTAACAAAAGGTCCATCTCTGTAGGGATTCTTTCCATGTGGTCAGAGACTTAGAGAACAATCTGAGCCTGCTAGCTAGCTGAGGCAATCTACTGGACCAATTGCAAAACCTTTTTACCTATTAGTCATTTAGGCCCCAAAATATGTTTCAAAAAGAAAAATACCAGAATTACCCTTTAAAGTGTGCATAATCCAGTTTTGAAAAAAACTGATGCCTGCATACTCGCTTTCTGGACAGTGTTTCTCGTGTATCTATATTCTTCTTTGCTCCAGAAAGTTTGGTGCTTGTGGGACAAATTCATACACAGATCCTCAGCCAAGTAAGTACAAGCCCTCTCCTTGCCCTCTACCCCACATGGCCTCTCTTTGCTGATAGGCAGCTTGAGTATATTTGGGATCACTTCAGTATTGTTTATGATGCTATTATGGTAATAAGACTCTACAGTGGCACCAGCTCTACAGGACAGGCAGGTTCATGTGGTCTCCATTAAGCGGACACAAACCTCTCTCCTCACACCTGACTATCAAGGTCTTTCACATTAGCTCTGAAATTCCTGTTCTCCATTAAACATAATTATGTTTTTATTTCCAAAAACCTTGGCTTTTTACCTGAGGCATCGTAACTTTTTCTCAGCGTCGACTCCAGTTGACTTTTGATGATTTTTGAATTATGTAAAATTTCCTATCCCATTTAAGTATGTTTGGTTTGAGCTCATTTGTCGGTGGCCTGTTTCTCTAAATTATCCTTACATTTAATGACATGAAGAACATGCCAGTCTGCCTGTTGACCACGGGCCTAACTCGGCACCAATCTGAAGAAACTACTCTCAAACCAGTGCCAGGAAGCTAAGAGGTATAAGCAAGCATTTGTTTGAAACTGGCGTGTGCCCAGCTGCCTTTCTCAATCTTCCCTTAGGTTTCCCTTGGTGACTCTTTGTGTGCAAGAGTGCGGCCTGTGTGTGTGCTGGTGTGTCTGCATGTGTTTATGTGTGTGCGACCGAGAGTGTGCGAGTGTGTTTAGGAGGTGCTGTTTCCCACAGCCCTGATCTAATTCCGTGGTAACTCAATCTCCGTGTGAGCGCTTCCCGGCGAGTGTTCTCCCACCCGTCGACAGTCTCTCTCTGGCTGGCTGAGTGGCTGAGTGTGTCTGACAGAGGCCGGCTCAGTCCCTTTGGACCCCCACCACCTCCATCCTACCCACCCTCCCATCAGGATTGATTTACTATGTCGACCGTTGGGGCTGTCGGCAGCAGCGACGCTCACAGCCGTGCCTTCATCCTGTGTGCACACCATCCTGACATCTTATACCTGTCATTCAACAACTGCTGCAATGGAGTTTGCATTTGTGTGTGTTGAGGCAGAGGGTATCTGGGGGACATTCCTGTGTGTGTGAGATCATATTTTGTCCATGATTTATTTAAATTGAGTGGAGGTGTATGTAAAGTAAAAGTATTAACTTTGCTGCATATACACATGAGCTATGAGATATTATGTAAAACAGAGAAAATGCCACCCATGCTGGTCTTAAACAGTTTGTCCAACTGAGGGAAATGTCTCCCAGACAACTTCTATTCAACAATGTTATCCTATGGGCCACAACTTCCTGCCTGTCCACACCGGTTCCACTCAGCACCCAGGCGCTATATTGGGTAGGGACCAGACCGGTCCTGAGACCCATTCCCACTGTGTGACCGTAATGCACCCGCCTTCTCATTCTTTACTTTCCTGCCTTTGTTGGCATCCATTCTCCTTGTGCTTTTTGGATAGGTAAAGCCAGGGAAGGATGTGTTGACTTCCTTGTTTCTTTGTTTAGCAGGAGCTTTATTTAAAAATCTTTTCTGAAGAAAACTCCTCAGGTCATAATACTGACACCAGGATCTCAGCACCAGCTGCCAATTACAAGGCTTAGAGTCAATTACAAGGCATGAACAGCATTTAGAAAAGATTCAAACAATACTTTGTATTCTGATATAGACAACTTTATGTGCTGGCTTAAAAGGAAAACGTGGATGAGTCGCTCTTGAATAAATAGAAATGTATGTCATTGCATGCACACTCCTTCACAGTGGCCCCAATTATATTGTTTGTAAGGATTACCAGTCTGCTTCCCATTACCAGTTAAGTTATGCAAGTCCACAATAGGGAGAAGGGAGATCACAAGACCGTTTCCCAAATAAGCGCAACAGGAGACGGCACGTGATGTCCACACAGTGAAAGGAGGACCACTGAGCAAGCTACTTTTAAGGCCACACATTGTGTTGCCACAGGAAAAACATTGTTTGCATGTCAATGGAGTGTGTGTGTGTGTGTGTGTGTGTGTGTGTGTGTGTGAGAGAGAGAGGTGA